CGAGGCCTCGCGAGGCCACTGGCCCAGCAGGAAGCCTCGTGCGGCGGCACCGCTCGACACCCTGTTGCAGAGCAGGAGCAAAGCAGCCAACGCGCTGAGTTCAGCTCTGCGGCGGCAGCACCGAAAGCAGAGGGGAGAACTGCGACTTGAGGCGGGGACTTGGGCCGTTTCTTTCTCATTTTGGGAGGGTGAAAAAGCAGAGGCAAATCTGCGCGGCTAAGCTGCAGCACCTTGGGAACACCACTGACAGCAGGGCGCAAACAGGCACGCAGGGCGAGCTCTGCTGTTGTTTTCTACCTCTGTTCCTCTTCGAGACTCAGTCACAAATTCTCATTAAGTGATGTTCTGCTTTTGCAAACAGGGACATGTTGATAGCTCTAAAACATCAGGAGGAGGAATCTCTAATTTAGATGCATTCCACCACACTAGAAAAACAAGCTAATGAACCAATTTAATCACAGGCAGAAGCAACAGTTGGCAAAGTTCACTCAGCAGTTCGGAGGATCCTTCCCCTCATCAAAAATGTTTATACTTTGCAAAGAGACATCCCTAGGAAAGGTCCTGCCTACCTCAAGAACATGAAACTTTTCATAGGAACTTGAGATCACATCTCTAAAGAAAAGCTGTACCCCCCCCCCACACACACAAAAGAAAACACAAGTTGCTATTGAGATTAGTGAAAGCAACCGCTGGTTTCTGTTGAGCACCCATCTCTCTTCCTTCCTCCCTGCAGACAACCACGATCCATCTGCAACGCCAAACATTTTTTAGAGGCTGTTTTACATCTACACTGAGCTTGGGCATTTGTCAGTTGATGGGAAGACAACCAGTCTAAAATATAAGATGTTCCCTCTCTGGCCTTACTAAAGAAAAAGCACAAAGCGCTGGGTCAGCAATCACACTATCTTTCCAATTAACTATGTTTTCAAATCCAACATGCAGCTCCATGATTAACATGTAGTTTAAGATGACTAGTTGTGTGTAACAGTAAAGCTATTTAATCGTAATCCTCTGCTTTAGCGATCTTTGTCACATGGAATGCACAAGCCAGGTAAGTCGAGCTGTGCACATCCAAAGGAAAAATAAAATCATGTAACATTTTCTCATCCTGAAACAAGACCAAATAGATTTATCACACCAAGACTTCATGCTGTATTTCACTAAAACATTAGGCGGCTGAAAGGAAGTGCCCATAACAAAGACAGTTAAAAGGAAGTTAAGAGAGAGATAAAACACCAACCAAATTGTTACATGTCCCTGAGCCCAGCTGCAGGTTCACGCACAGTGCAGCCTTCATGGGTAGAGACATTGGCATCAGTTTGCATGTCAACAGGAGCTACTGGTGGCCTCAAGCCACTCATTATACCGCTTTGTTCATGACAAGTCACCATGTTAAGTCGTATTTACCAACTGAAAGACCTGGGAAACGGGCAAAGAGCAACTCTCAGGTCTTTACTGGTCAGGTGCTGCGCAACAACTGAGCTGCTAGCAGCAAAAAAAGAGAAGTGCAGAAATGAGAAGGGGCTACCCAGCCCTGCAACGTCTCCTCACCGGGTGAGGCCTCCAGGCCATCACGTTTTTAGGACCACATTTCTGTGCACAGTCCTTAAAAGATTATTTGTCTGCCAAGCAAAGAGCTAGCTCGGATCCGCAGAGAGCCTAAGGGGAGAGGCGACCGTGGAAAACCTTGTTCTCCTCCAGATCCCTGCTGCTCCTCTTCCATCCTGCAGCCAAAAGTCTCAGGAAGCATGTGCAGAGGTTTGTTCTTGCTCTCATTCACAAGCACTTGTCAAACAGTTGCATGTTTATAGTTGCACAAATTTAAAACCAGCAGACCTGGGGGCAGTTCCCCGGTTCTGCGGGTGTGCAACCGGGCTCTGGAAATTCATCACACAGCATCACATGCTCCTCTCTTGCTACCTGTCACTCACATTCAAGGGGAGCGGTGAATAACACAGCTGCAAACCACAGAAGTACGTGTGAAAGGAGGATCTGACACACAGAGGACCATCTGGTGCTTGACAAGCCCCAAGAGCAGCAGACAGAGATACCTACATACAGACGTGTTATCCTGACAGATGAAGAAACTCTGCTCTTTTGAGATCACACAGACTGAAACTTTTTATTTAAATCATCAGTCTTGATGCTTCAGCTGTGATGAGGCAGAGTACCTGAAGGCAGAAGTTGGCCAGATGCTAAAGTTTGCTCTTCATTTTGCCAGAGAGCACCCTCAAGTTTGATGATTTGTGCCTAGACAGGTAATTTTCATTAACATTTAGCACGGCTGTTTTTAGCCTGCAGCCTGATTTTAGGTTCCTACAGTAAAAGCTGTGCTGAGTAACAACATAATAATTATTTTCCACATAACAGATGTTCCTGTTTAGTTTATGTTTTGCAAACTATGACATGATTTACTATTATATAATTACAAAATACTTTAGCAATGATCAAAATCATAATCAAGATTTACCACAGATATTCCCAATTTAGCCACTTTATTAAAATAAAGACTTTACCAATTCTCAAATCATACACAATTCAAATAGCAAGGCTTAGAAAAGTGTACAGCATTTGGGACCATGTTATTGCATTTCTAGTTTAGGATTTGGAAAGAAAATTGAGGCTAATGCAAAAATGTAATTCTCATACAACCACACGATTCTCCAAAATCAGATTTTGAAAATTTAAAACTACAGAATATTTTTGGAGTTTTGGTTTCTTTTAAGCCTACAGGTGTGTGCATGTGCAGCCCAGTTCATCTCACCTTGTTTCTCTCCACTGACTAGTAGAAGAGCCAACATGACTAACTCAGATATAGGTATCCAAATGTAGGATAGGATTTTTCTCTCCAAACTATGAGTGCCTGGGTTTTCAGGGTTCCAATTTGCTGAGCACTCTGAATTAGAGCTACAGGAGCTATTTGGAGGGAAAAAAAATAGATTCCATCTGTCCTGAACTAAAACTAGTCACCCAGCATTCATATATTTTCAGTAACTATGCTTTTGTAACCTAGACTCCCATAAATAGAGTTATTTTTTTTTCTCCTCACAAAAGTAGTCTGAGACCCACGATTAGTCTCAAAGAGTTACGATGCTACAGGGATGAACATCACAGAAAAAAATAACACCCAAGGAATTATTTTATGAAAGAAAGTGCTAAAATTACCCCTATTTTTTATGGTGAGCAGTATGCAAATATGTAACTTACTGGTCACTTACCCTGCTGTCTCTGTACACATCAAAAACAACTGAAAAGGAGAAAATAAAGTTAATTTTAAAAGAGATATAATTCCACAGAAGATGTCTAAATCTTAACTGTGTACCTAGAACCACTGTCAATGCACTGAGAGAGACTGTCTGCTGGGCTTTACTGTTTAATACTGGTTTATTCTGTTGGCTTTTTCCCCCTCAAAGAACAGGTGATTTAACTCCTAGCATAGAGGGGAGCTTATCTTCAGCGGTACCACTGCTCGTCCTACAGCAGGAGCGAGAAACTCCGAGGAAGGATCAAGGCGCCTGTGCACAAGCCTTTAATAAGAGAAAGTTCCTGCTTCCAAGAGATTAGGAGCTCAGCAGATAACGAGACAAACAGACGGAAGTAGAAAAGGGGGCAGGCTCAAGGCAGCAGTGAAACAGCTATGTTCAGTGCTGTTAAGACACATCTAATGATTCCCAACAGCTCTTTCAAACACCCTTTGCTTTTTGACAGTTTCACAGAGTCACAGGATGGCTGAGGTTGGAAGGGACCTCCAGAGATCACCCAGTCCAACTCCCTGCTCCAGCAGGGACACCCAGAGCACGGGGCACAGGGTGGCATCCAGGCGGGTTTGGAAGATCTCCAGAGAAGGAGACTCCACAGCCTCTCTGGGCAGCCTGTTCCAGGGCTCTGGCACCCTCAACAGGAACGAAGTTCTTCCTCACATGGAGGTAGAACTTCCTTTGTTTCAGCTTGTACCCATTAGCCCTTGTCCTGTCACCGGGCACCACTGAGAAGCAAATTTAAGCAAAGTTGCCTTATGTAGCTCCATCATTGGTCCTCCCACTGAATTAAGCATGGATCTTTGTATGTGCATCTCCCTGTTAGCTTCTGTTCTGCACGGTTAAACAAACCCTTGATTTGTCTTTCCACCCAACTATGGAAATCAGCAAATAAGAATTCAGGTCTGACGAGTTGTACCAGTTTAGCAGAAAAAAATTAAAATTGCCAGATTTAGAAAAGCCTCCGACAAATGCTGCACTGGCACTTCCTTCACAAATAAGGAACTGAGTATTTTGGCTAGTTAAGAGATTTCCTCATGTGTGAGACAAGCTAAACTCAGCATATAACTGAAGAACAGTCTCAGCGGCTGCTCAGGAAGCTGCCTGTCAGCAGCACCTATGTTGACTGATCACGTCCACATGTACAAAGCTACTTGGTAGCTTAGCCTGATGTTTAATGCCAAATTGGCTGGGTTAAGATTATACCACAACTAAGAACTCAAAACGAGCCACCTAACTTTTTTTGACTGCATGACCTAAAAATTCACAATGCTTTCTGCAAAAGCTCAATTATATAGACTTAAAATATCACTCTGGGCGTAAGCAGTAGGATTTTCTTAGGAAAATCAAGCCTTCAAGATGGCTAAGTCATCAATGCAAAGAAGAGCTCAACAACCCCAGATTCCTTCTGTAACTGCTGAACAGAACTTGTTGCTACTGGGTAATCTGGGTAATCTCTTATTGGGTAATCTCACTAGTCATATTTCATTAGTGGAAAAGTTACACCTAAGCTTCACAGTGATGTTTGTCAGTTTAAAGCAAGCCAGTGGCAATACTGATCATTAATCACTGAGGCTGCTTTCACTTAGTGGGACTTATAGCATTGAAACGTTAGTGACTATTTGGGACACTCACAAACACTGAGCAGAGAGGAAGACCTGAACTGTTCCCTCCTCCTCAGTGGTCACCCCAGACCAGTGTGTCAGGAACTAGATGCTAAAAGTCACCCTCAATCACTAGCAACTCAAGTAAAGCTACGGCCTCAACTCTCGAGTAAGTATTGACACCTCTGAAAGATTGTTTTTAGTGGCATTTCATGCAAGTTTATGAAAAAGTTCAAACACAACTTAGAAGTATTTTTAAGTATTTGCCCATCTGTTAATGCTGGGCTTGGGCTTTGCACCACTTCAGCTGCTCTGGCTCAACTCTTCCACCTGGAGAGGCTACCAAAACCAACTGCAAAAAGCAGAGCAAAAGGAACCAAAAGAAAGGAAAGCTTAATACCTCTCCCAAAACAGCATCAAAGGATATGCTGGAGCATGAAGAAAAGGGAGGGGGAAAAAAAACACAGATTTTTTTTTGTGTGACATTTCTCTGCCAGAGACAGGTAACCAGGACTCAGTGTCTAGGATTGAAAGGTTAGGAGGAAGAAGGAACAAACCTTCATCCCAGAGTGCTTCCCTGAAGACTTATTTTCCCAGAGCTAATTTAGATGGTGCAGTTTTATTTACTTTACATAAGATGACAGACTTTGGATCTTTCAGTTCATTAGATGGCAGTTTCAGAGCCTACATCTAGGCAACTATTTCTAAAAAAGCCACCCTGAATTCTTATCTATCAGTTGATTACACACCCAGCTGAAATTATGTTGTCTTGGAACATACAGGAGAATTAAAACAGGCAGTAATCAGAATGTCATAATTGTATGGTTGATTTCCCCCAAACTTCAGGGCCAGAGATCTATTGAATTAGTACTCTGCTTTCCAGACTGCTGGTCTTCAAGCAGTGACTCCTGATAAGTTGTCTGAGTGGAATAAAGGAACCGTGCAGAATCCAATGACTAAAGTTTGAATAAAGCAGCCTGGCATTAAAAGGTACCCCCTGCTGAAAGTCAGACAGGACAGATCAGCAGAACAGGTAGCCAGGCTCCCAGGTTCAGTACTCAAACCTCTAAAGCGGACCATGTTAGTGGCCAACAAAACTGTTAAATTTATGTGCTTTTTAAAAATAAGGTTCAGTCCACAGAGGCCAATGTAAGTTTCTCCATCCTGTTTCTCATTACTCCTGACACCCCTCACAGTACAACACTATTCTACAGTCACTAAACCATGTTCAGTAATTATTTCAAAATTATTTTTTCCACTGCTTAGAGATAGTAGAAGTACTCTGCCTTTATTTTGAATAAGCCTGATCAGCTAAAATACTATGCATTTTTAAAATATTTTTCATTTTTTTCCACAGTTTTCACTCATCTCCAGCAGTGAATTGGAATTTAGCACACCGGTAATTCGGTGGGCCATGGAGGAAACAAAAACAAGCCCAGTGTAGCAAAGGGACAAGACAACAAGTCTCATTTCTATGGAATTGGCCCTGCAAACCCTTCCCAGTTCTGAAGTCTCAGGAAACTACTCTGCAAAACAACTTCAAAAAGGTAGACCCTCCATTATTGTTTTTAAATCATTGTAACTATGCCTACATCAAACATCTTAAAACCTGCATAAACATCATCCCTCTCTCCCCTTTGCTTCCCTTTCCAATTCAAGCCTTAAGATACTTACAGTCTTCATCCAAGAATTTATACTGTATGTTTCTCTTGAAAAACTCCTGGATTGATCTACAGATCTCTTCATGCTGCTTAGAGATATGCTCATAGTATTGAGTGTAGTCTCTTTGCGAGATACCTGTGAATAATTTTAGTTGATTACAAAGAGCTTCGAACATGCAAAAGACACAACCAAAAGGCTTTATTATTATTATTTCAATTGTTGCTTATTCATTTCAGTTTTATTCACCCTGGTTACTCTGGCCAAAACCTTTTCCATTCTGCACATCAAAGGTAGAAACCAGCATCTGAAAATATGACATGAAAGGTCCAGGCCTGCAGGTACCTTGGCCAAGATGACAGACTCTAGTTGGATGCCTTGGAGATTCTCCACGGAACATGCATAGAGACATGAACAAAATGTAGTCACTTGGTAAGATACTATAGGTCAAGCCTTAAATCTTGGTATTAAGAAAATAGTCTCATAAAAACTCACTACAATAGCATATAACCTAATACACTGTTTCCATTTGCTCCCTCTGAGGGCTTTCTCACCCCTGACATTAGGTCACACCTGACATTAGACAAACTATTCCAATTGCATTAGAAGCCCTTAATTTCAGACATTCACTTGTTGGCAAGACAGTAGTTTAAGCTGACATCAACAGGGTTATACACTTAACATTTATCTTAAGTGACAGAAGTTCTGATAGAGAGTATGTAAACATAAATCACTACAATACCCTGCTGGAAAAATGTCAAATCAAGACATACTCATCACTACAGAACAAGTAACTTATGCTATTTATGAAAGAAAAAAGCCAGACTCTACCAAAGATGATGCATCAGTGCTGGCACTTTGCTATTTTAATCACATATGTAACACATCAGAGACTGCATCTTGCCATAAGAAAACGCTAAAAACCTCTGAAGAAGTGCTCTTTCAAAGACTCATATAAAATATAAAGCTTACAAAGTCAGTGGAACTCTGAATAATTAGTATCACTGCAAAGCTCAACTTTGGTCTAAAAACAAAAGAGATGACAGCACCTCAGGGGGATGCGGGTGCCTAACTGGAAAAGCACCACACTGCAAGCATCACTCATTGGCCCGACTCACAGGTTTATTAAGAGTAGGGGAATATGTTGTGAAAGAATTTGGAGATTTCCTCAGACAACTCTAGGATAGCTTGGAATTGCTATCTGCTATCTGCTGTGTTTTAGAAACAGCTTAATTAGCCAGAACACAAATGCTGTGGGGTATCTGGAAGCAAGCACTGAGATGCATAAATTCCACAGTAATCCTACATTCAAGCATTCTAGAGATGATTACAGTGATGCACATCTGTCAGTTGTGGCACCTCAGCACTACATAAAGGACAGGATTCAGCTCTTCCTCCTTCATACTGACCAAATAGAGAGTCCCTGCTACTAGTACAATCTCCAGCAAACTGCAATACAAACCCTGTGACTGGCATGAATGGAAAGAGGAGTATGGATGCACCAGAAGGAGCATTAAAAGAAGGGTTATAAGAATGGCACACGGTAACAGCAGCTAAATTAGCAGATCCCAGAAGATCTGTGTTATAGGATACCCAGATCAGGATACAAAGGACAGTGAGTAAATCCCTGATGATTAACAGCAATGGAATAGGATGGAGAAAATAAATCACTGCCAGTTCCCACCTGGTACAAAGAGGCACATCCGAAACTAGCACATAGTCACTGCCCTGAGCACAACTCAGCAGAAACAGTGAGGACTGTGTAGCTGATATCCATTCATCTCTTCTCCGTCACAAGGAATCCTGGACAGACTACCGGTACACGTGCATCTTGTTGCTTGCAAATACACAGGTGTAAGTGCGAGTGGAACTGGTTTCATTTTATAGCAAAAAATAATTTCCTCCCTTCCTATGAAGTCTGGATTAGAGCTTTGCTACATCATTACTACAACATTTCCACATCATTTCCTATGATAGAAAAGTTCAATCCTAACAATTTGGCTGAGATAAGGGCAAACGTGCACAGGCTCTGTGCTATCTATCAAACTCTGTTCATTATGATAGTTTCTGCTGTCACAGATGGTTGTCACAGAATCTAATTCAATCTCCAGAAATAAGGGATAGAACTCAGTCCAAAATTAAAATCCTCTCCAAGATCTACATGTATTCTAGATACCTAGGCTCCGATTATGGTCAGAAGAACACAATACACAAAATTCATCTGACCCTGAAGCACATAGGTAAACAGAGTTTAATTGCCCAAAATACCTTCTCCCGCATAAGCTGCCTGTCCTCAAGCTGTCACAGGTCTCCCATGAATCTCCTAATGTCTCTGCCAGCTCTCTGCGTATGTTTTGGACACCCTGGCTGTTCCGTGTCACTTGAAGCATCCTAAATTTAGATTTTTAACCCAGAGTGATGGGTCACCTGCTCTTCTGACTAAATTCCTTTGACTACAGCATGAGCTCAGACAGCCAGCAAACCTGTGGACACGTTCTGACCTACTGAACTTTCCACGCAGAGCATCCAGATGTGCTCACACTCTCAGGATACCGCCCAAGTGCCTCCTTCTCCAAGGAGGCTACGACTGAGTATGCTCCTGAATAGAAAGGAATCATTTGCTTAACATCCTTTGGATTAACTTTCTGAATCAGCAATTAGAGTTGAGAACTTCCCACTGCTACACAGGGCTGTCAAGATTTAAGATGAAATGGAAAGGAAAACTTGGCATTCCATATTTTAAAATCACAGAAAAAAGAAAGAAAGAAAGAAGAAAAAAAAAAACATGAATTCCAGGTAAATGTGGTGAAGAAGAATCTTCAGATTTAACATAGAGCAACTGTTAAGAACTTTGAGTGGATTAATCTTCAAGAAAATCCTCACCTATAAGCTTGTTTTCCTTGACAAAGCATCTGAATTCTGCACCAGGGATTAGCTCACACCATTTTCGAAGAACAAGCTACAGAGGAAAAAAAACAAGCCAACAAGTCACAAAAAGTATTGTTAACAGGTGACTTTGTGTCACCAGGCATACCTTCTTGTTATTCCAACAGTTTTGTTAAAATTACAACACAAACTCTGAAGCATAGACACCTTCATCTTCCCCTACAAAAAATATTAATTCATATTAGTCCATCTTAGAAAATACTTAAAAAGTAATATTATAACACTGATTTCCAGAAAGCAATTTGATAAATATAGCACCTCTTTCCAGAGCTTGCTCTGGAGCTTGCTGTTATGTGGGTGTTTATGCCTGGAACTTCAGATAAGGTTCAAGAGCCTTGAATATTCCTAAGCCCTTTTCCACTGGTCAGAAACAGTTCATTGTGACTGCATTAGAAAGCTATCCTGACTGAACCAAAACTGGACTTCCATGAAATCATGGCTATGCAAAAGTAGAGGGCAGACATTAAAAAATACATGTGTGTGTATATTTTTTCTATTCAATTTTATTCAAACCAAGATTTATGTTATGTGAACCACTAATAAATATGCTCCTCTATTTTTCACTGAATGCTAGCTAAGACCAAAGCAACTCTGCAGCAGCACACACTGCAAAAAACACAGCAATGAAAAACAACACTATTTAGCTCTCCCTGGGATGACAAGAGGTACTCGGTGCAAGCTGGAGCAATGAAGTTCACATTGAACAAACTGTTTTGCCATGAGGACAGGAGAGGCTGCATTGTCTCCATCCACTGAGGTTTTCAAGATTAGACTTGAAAAAACTAACCCCAAGCAATCTGGTTTCATCTCACACCTGACCTTACTTTGAGCAGGTTGGACTAGGCACCATACGAGGTTTCTTCCCACCTTAACTATTCTATAATCATCCACTTTGTACAATATTTTTTAACCAAGAAACTTCTAATGAAGCAACTTTGAAAGTTACGTTAGTGTTAAAGCACGGAAAACAAAAAATTCTGCTGTGCAGCAGATCTGTCTTGGCATTGGCAGGAAGTTGTTCTCCAGTCAAAAGAGCTGATGAGCAGAATTAAAATTAACCAAATCAACCTCTATTCTGGGATACACCCAAGCAGGATTCTGTGACGCCTCTGAAGGCGCAAATCCATTAAAATAAGGACACGGGACAGAAATAGTAACCCAACTATTACAGTCAATAGCACAGACGCCTGGTAATTAAAGCAGATCCCTGGCACTTCCTTCAGTTGCTGTATTCCCTAAGCTGAAGCATTCAGATGAATCTGTTATTTTGAGGCCCTCAAATACTGTTCAGGGCCACTGGAATCTTCCAAAACCTATGGACTGCAATAGAAAACTCAACATGAAACTTGACACTAACTAACTACAATGTGAACATGAAAATCTTAATCTCATGTTTTCTGTATTTTTGTCCCAGAATTCTACATTTGAAAGCACATTAAGACTGTTTCAAAGCACTAAAGACTTTCCTAAAGCCTATGTTTACATACAGAATGATTTTAAGAGACATAATTAGATGCCAAAACAAAAAAGATAGCACCACATGTACAGTTTAAGGCATCATTAATATCTGAATCACTAAGCTAAGGTTTTAATCCAGTAATGAGCATGTGTAACAAAATACAATCAATCCAGTTCTTGGCAGCTGGGATGGCCCCAGCCACTACAGTTGGTTTCTCTATCTCTTTTCAGGTCAGACATGAGGGAAAATTTCTACAACGAACGAGCCGTCAAGCACTGGAACAGGATGCCCAAGGAAGCGGCAGCGTCACCGTCCCTGGCAGTGTTCAAGAAACGTGTAGATGAGGCACCCTTAGGGACACGGTGGTGATGGGTTTATGGTTGAACTTGATCTTGAAGGTCTTTTCCAATCTTCCAAGATCTTTTTCCAAGGTCTTTTCTATGATTCTAAGCGACTGCTGATGTAATGTCCACAAGAAATGTGCTATGAAGAGTAAGTGATTTTCAGCTGCTGAGCTTGCCTTTCCTGGCAAAACCCAACAGACATCAGAGGAAACTACAAACAGCTTGAAAAGCCTCAGCTCATCACTGACCTGTAATTAAACAAACTCCGTATGTCCTATAGTTCCTACCCAGACTTCTCCCCACTGCTCAAGCAACACAAAAAAAGAAGAAAAAACAAAAGCAAACACACTTGGGCACAAGCCCAACACAAATGGCAGCCTGCCCACAAGGCAGTAATTCATTTAAATTACCTAGAAATAAGGCAAATCAGCTCTTACCTCATAGTCCAAGGAAGGATCAGGCGAATCATCAGTGCAGTGAATAAACCTGGGAAAATAAGTCACACACATCAAAATCTGCTTCTACATACAAAATTTTAGCCACAGGGAGAAAAATAAAATTGAGTTGTGAATCATAAAAGATTGAGAATTCAATCAAGAAAGATTCAATTAAAAAAGACCTTATCAAAAAGTATATCCAAGATGAACAACCCAAGTAAGTTCGGTAAGCCACTAACAAGCCTCCTTCCAAGGATTATCAAGGAAAAGAATCATCTTTTTATCTAGCGTAATTTGGAAGCCTTAATTTACACAAAGATTTAGATAAAAATGAAGTATTTTGCATTGCTGAGTCTTTTGTTCTAGTTACCAGTGCTGTTCCTTTCTTCTTTACTGCTATGCAGGCATAACCAGATTCTCAGAGAGCCATATGAACTTTGGCAATCTAACTTAGACTCATTGTGGCAGGTTTCTCTTACTAATTTTGATGTTTTGCTTCCTAAACACGACAACCGAGACATCACGTCTTACAGCAACCCAGGATTATTTTCATTTCCATGAATAAGGGACACAATATGGCACCACTCGACACGCTTGCTAGCACAGCACGGTAGCTTGCTAAATTAACAGCATTAATGCACTTCAAAAAATAGCCCTTGAGACTGGAAATAAACAAAACTATTTGCAAAACTGCCAGCAGATGCCAAGATTTTGTCCCTTGTCATTATCTGACTTTGAGCCACCACTCAGGAACTATCAAGAATGGAGGCAGTTACACCTGAGCCAACTATTTATGCTCTCATTTTTATACAGCAAACCTTACAATAAATCCGGTAACTTTTAAAGGCAGACATCAAAACCCATGCATTTTCCTTGCAGGGCTACTCCCTGGCACCAAGCTCCTCGGGTGCACAGCAGAGCTGTGCAGAGGGTCACAGCTGAGCAACGTTCTCACATGACAACCTTTACGCGGCCTCCCGTTGGTGCTCCAGCTTACTCCAGCAAGAGGCACCTTTACAATTTTCCAGTTGTCACAAGACACCCTTACTATCAATCAGAATTAAGTATCTTACCTAACCCTCAAATATTTAAGAGTGCTCCATGTGGGGGAAGTACTGCCTCTTAATGCTGGCTGCTTAGATACTGCTCCCAAGTCAAGCAAACAAAATGGTAAATATGGAAGAAAATATTGCAAAATGCAGAAATATCATTTTTCCTTGAACCTCAATGAGGTCAAAATGGAAAAAGGCAATAAAAGATAAAAACTCAAGTCACTGCCCTCTCTCTCTCCTCATTTTTGTTTTTGTCAACAAAACCTTATTCACATTCCCCAGCTTTCTGTATAAATGAGGGGCAACTGGATGCTGTTGTAACTACGTATTTTATACCAAATATATTACAGCTCAATCCTTCCATTTCACATGGCCCTTCAAAAACTAGAGGCAAAGGCAGCGTTTCTTTACCTTGCATCCTATTCAAATCCAGAGCTAATCAAAACAGCATCCAGAGACACTTAGGATTGCAGAATTAAAAGGCAACTGGACTCTTTTCTGAAAATTTGAAAAATCATCATTACAAATACTAGTAAGAATGAAGAAATTAAACTCCATAGCTCATAAACCTTGGACTTGTTTACAGATTTATATTTAGACATCAACAAGAAGGATCAAGGTCTCTGCACACACCAGGTGTATGTTGAGCTCTAATGCTTGCACTTAACAGGGTAGTTGCTACATGAAGTAGTTATTCAGTTTTCAGTGCTCTGAGCAGGGTGATTTAAGAATGTTTATGAGACCTTCAGGACCTATCCTGCAAAGAAAGCCATAAACTGAATTGCAAATCATCAAGATTATGTTTTTAATCATTTGTTATTATCTGTGGAATAATGAAAATTTTAAGAGTTATTTTGTACCTGGCAAACTCCCTTGCTACTATCTCACAATCTAATTTAAAAGCTTAATAAAAATCAAGCAGAAATTTCTAACAGTCTTTGAATTGTATCTTTATTTCTCAAATATTGAACTTCACTGGAAAAATATTCAACTAAGGACCATGAACAAATAGGGGGAGATTCACATAGCATTCAAAAGAGCATCTTGTACTACACATTCTATTAATTCCTAGTTAAAACAAGGAGTTAAAAATCTCAGCAAATACATATCGCCTAAAACGTAGTTTTCCACAGTCTTTCATGTGCAATGGTTTCCTGTGAAATAGGTTAATAAGTGTCTGAATCAAAGGCTACAGCTCCTTCAACACGACATCCTGAATGCCCAGTCACATCTTTATGAGCCAACACTGCCTCCTACCTTCTGCCAGCAGAACCCAGGCTGTTATTCCTCTAAATCTCAGAAAGACAGGCAGAAAGGAGGTGGTAATTTAACTTAATTTCTTGCCTAATGTAAAATGGGTTCATCTTGTGTGTAGGATATGTTGTTTGAAGGCACTTAGCTGCAGAGGTGTCTGCTGCATGCAGTGGGTTCTGTGCATTTTGGGCACGCACACCCTGCACCTCCTGGAGGAGGTTCCCCCAAGGATTATCCATGGTATTTGGCTAGAGATTCAGGCAGTTAGCTGCTCGTATTGAATGTTTTACAGTTTTGTCCCCTAGATCTGGGAAACCAGGGAATTTTGGGGATCCAATATGTAGAAGGCTGGTTTCAAAAGTGTAATCAGGGTGCTAACTTAGAGAAAAAAAAAAGAAAAATAAAGTATTGGTACATTTGCTAGATTTTAAAACTAATCATAAGATCGTAGGAGTCTAATGGATAAACTTGAGAGCAGACTTTCTAAATGACATGCTGAAGTAGGCACTTAAAATTTAAACAATCCACAACACCTAAACAGAAAAACTGCATCTCTCCTCATGATCTGTGTGTCTTGCATATAAATAATACATCTGGAAAACATCTGCCCTGCCCACTGGGAGCTGTTTCTCCTGCTTAGTCAACGTGGAAGTCGTTTCTTATCCAAAAGTACGACACAGGCTCCCTTCTTTCCTGCAAAAAGGCACCTGGGGCTTAAACAGGGTTGAGCTACTGCTGTCAGATTTCATCCTAACAGCTTCACCAGCTTCTCAAAGTTTTCAAGAATGAGCTTGAGAAGCAGCAGGTCAATTAAGACACTGAAAAATCATTTACAGCCCTTACTATTTGCAGGTCACAAACACAACAGTTATTCTAGGACCTGACTCAAACTGCCCCCTCTGCACTAAGTCAAAGGGCAACCCCAAAAGAGAACCTATTGGCATTATATGAACACTGGTCCTACAAGGTATTTCTCTCTACCATTGTAACTATTAAACAACTGGAAAAATAGGACTGCTGTAGGGTTTAACATTCCTATAGCAGCACCTACAGATTTGAAACATTCAGTATTTACGTGACACAACAAACTCATTTTATAATTTAAAGGGCATTATCACATCATTAGTATTATTGCCACTATTTATACCAGTGCCAAGGTGGGTTTTCATGTCTCAACCAAGCACAGCCCAGACATTCTAAAAATAAGGGAGAAATACATGAAATAATACAGAGTAGGCCCTTAAAGGAATTGTTCAAAAAAGGAGATTTAATCACTTAACAGGAATAGCTATAAATATTTTTTTTATCATGTATTCACAGCACTAAGTTTTTGAAACCTACACTAAAAACTGAAGTGTTTTCTGTGAACTCAGTCAAGTAAAACACAAAGCTTAATTTAAGCAGAAACAACATTGATTACATTAATGAGCACACTGCTCAGAAGTCTTTGTAAATTTATTCCCGTTCTAAGAGGAAAGTTAAGTCATTATTCTGAGCAAAGAAAGTGTTGACACCACGAGAGAATCCAAATATTGAAGTAATGCAAATGTAATGAACACAGCTAGGTAAGCTTTGAGTAAGGCTGTGTATTTTTTAAATGGTTCATATCAAAGTATTGCACAGCTGGAATTTTCTCTGAACTTGACAGTTAATAACTACATTAAGGGCAGCTCCCTGTCCTAAATAACACATAGGCCAGTGTCAGAAAAGCAAAGAGGATGTTAAGAGGAAGAAACAGGCATAAGAATCAGAAGTCAATGATAAAGCTACGTTCAGAAGCAGATCTTCAAATTGCCAGGTCAAGTTTTTCCACATTATGACCCAAGAAGTAGATTCTTTACAGTTGAGACAGTTGAACATAAAAAAAAAAAAAAAAAGCAGAGTATACAACATTTTGGCTGTGATATATGCAGAGCAAGACACTTAGATCTTTTTTCATCAGCATTCCAGTGTGGGGTATAATGAAAACGTAGTATATTTCATCCCTTCTCCTCCCTCTGACTAGCTCTTCCAAGTGATTTGGATTTATTATGTATCCAATTTTCATTTGTTCAGCACTTTATGTCAGCTGCATTTTTAATTTCTGCTGGCTAAGGACTAGCGAGCTGGCAGTTAATCAATAGGCTAATTAATGAAGACTGCCTTTGTGATTCAGCAGTAGCCATGTATCAAGAAGGACATTTTGTATGAATAGTTTAGCAATTTAAGAACACTGTGCACAGACTGGACAACAGTACATGTTTATATAAATATATATTTTTATATATCAATATTTAAGATATATAGATATAATATTATCAAATGTAATCATAAAGTCTCTGCTAGCAAAGTGCAGTAGCTGTCTTAGCATGCTGGAAAATGAGCGAGTCGTGCTGGAAAATGAGCGAGTGGTTTTAGAGGGAGCAATTTCAGGTCCTGTCTTTCTGCCAGAGGTTACCTGCCCCACAGCAGAGATGGTGTCTGCTACAGGGCGCACAGCCAGCACTGCTCTTAGCTTGGTGTGAACTCAAGCTGAGACAGATCCCTGCTGCTGCAGGGCAGCACCCACGCTGCGAGGGTCACAGCGCAGGAGCTGCAGCACGTTCGTTATCTCTGCCACTAAGAGGCCAGCACTGTCTGCAGAGGGTGAGGTGAAGAGCAGAGGTGCTAACTCTGCCTGATAGGAGATTAAAAACCCACAAGACAAAACACCCTGGTATCAATTTCGGTGAAGGTGGCCTGGCCAACTCGTTCTGCTCTTCAAATGTGCAAGCCAGGAGCCCCAGGAAGCATCTAATCACCACAAGTCGTCAATCAAGTGGGGCTTGCTAAACCCTCGATTGTGTCCTGAACTCCCCGGAACGTGATTAACCAAACAGGAATTCCCCAAGGAGCTTGGCGTCCTTTTTGCTAATCCTCTTTCTACAAGAGGTTAGTAGGTGAAATTTAAAAATGTTATATTCTCTAAAACATTTAATGTTGTGTTGATATAAAATGCAATATTTAGAAGCTGTCACCTGAATGAGATATGGATATTGCAAGAGGAAACTATTCCTATTCCTCTTTATGTTAGCAGGTAAAATACAAATCCTAAGTGTGCCCTGGGTCTTGTAACCACTATTTGTGGTCATACTGTATCTGGATTCAATAAACAATTTTGAAACACATACATGAGAATTTTCAAATAAGATATTTATAGTTACTTTTCAGTAAATGCTATAGAGTTTTCAAATTAACTGAAATGCCATTATGCTACCCTCAGAAGCTTAGGGTTGACTGGTTAAAATAAGATTGTGTATGCTAGAAATCTACTTACGGCTGAGTGAGGTCACGAGTAATAAAGTCTGAACTTTTGAAGAGGAGGAAGATGTCACTGAGCGTTTTACATTTCAGAGAGCTATTCATTGCTATCCAATAGGCATCCTAAATTAAAAAACAAAAAAAGATTATCCAAAACGTACCTTTCTTAGTTGAAAGGAAAAGAAACTACAGCTCTATCTGCAAACAGAATAAATATCGCATACCACTGGAAACAAGCAGAAAACACTTTTGGGATAGGACGGGGGTTTGCAGGAAGGCTTCATCAGCTATTACCACAGACTCAAAATAGCTACTGATTTTCTTAGTTAATAGTCTTACAAAAGCACAGCTACTCCACTTAAAATCTGAACTTCCTCTATTTCCTGGACTGCTTGGACAGAAGTCTCCTTTGAGAACATGACACAAAAATGCTTGTGTATGCTTCATCATTATGGAATAGTTCCAATGATCAAAAATAATCTGAGGAACGTTTATTGATTTAAATGCCTTTTTTGTTGTTTTAATCTCAAAGTTTTCAATTAATATTCCAAATGAGGGGAGTCTCACCTCTGCCATTATCCGAGAAGGATACAGGGACTTTTATATGAGAGAAAGTGCTGGCCAGGGTCAGCCTCACCAAACAGTGCACGATGTAGCTCTAACACACCAGAGCAATTTGGTGTATCACACTTCACTGATATCTTATCTATCATTCCTCCCTTTATCAGGGCCATCAGCTTCTTCTACTTCCCAATGAATTAAGATAAAACAAACAAACAAAAAATCCTTGTGACAGTATCAGCTACAAGTTTCAAGAGTCAGTGTTCTTACCCTTGGAGCACTCCAGTTAAGTTTAGGAAAAACACTGCCTCCCAAGGAACTTATTGCTTCTTGGACTTTAGCTGCAAACTCGGGAAATTCCGGAGCCTGAACAAAAAAAACAAAAATATCAATTCCAGCACATTTAATATATTCAAGTGCAATCACCTTGTAAATACTAGTAGTAAGACACACTTTAGAAGGAATAACCTCATCCAAAGACCATGAAGCAAGTATCTCAGAAAAATAATGAATTTGTAGAATAAATCTTTTCAAAATTCTCAATTTTCAAGAATGTCAGGCTTTATTCTTAAAACTATGTTTCTAGTTACTTGCACTACTAGTAAGGATCCAAGAACTTTAAACATGAAACTTTATAACCTCCACCATGAAAACTGCAACAGCTCGTAAACTTGTGAGTCAAATAACCAGCCCTTAAAAAAGACTCCTTGAAAAAACTCACGATGCATCCTGTCAAAACGTTAGAAGTTAGAAAGATCAGGACTGTCGTTACAGTTTTAATTGCGTTGAACTTGAACAAAATACTAGGTAAAACTTAGGTAAATTAAATTAGGTAAGGGAACATGCTGGAAAGAGATGAGATATCCTGGAAGATTTTGACTTGTAAAGAATACAACATACACTGAAACAAATATTGCAAACATAAAAAAAAAGGGAAGAAAAAACACCCTCAGGATGTTAAAACTACAGTATATCCTACTGTGAGTATACATATACATTCACATAAGGTGGTATAATATAAAAACTAGATTGCTGACTTCTATGAAAGCACTCCAGACACTTGTCCAAGACTTTTTCATGTAATAGGATTTACAGGAAACAGTATATAAAATATTGTTTCTGCTTATTTTTAATAAATGCAACTCAAAGATGACATGTAGGCTAAAACCAAGTGCTTGCAGTCACACAAGTCATGGAATAATTTTATATATTACAGCATCTTCCCCTTGCTGCTCCCTCCCCAGCACAGACACATTTAAACAAAGAAAAAACACATTTTAGTACAATGACCTAGACTGAACTTTATATATCCTGAAACATCCCTTAATGCATCCCCTAGTCTCCATGGGAAAATACCTGAAAAAATGAACAAGCACCACTCTTCTTGATTTTATTTTTGGTGCTTCAGTCAATTTTAGAAATCATTCCTGCAAAAAGCAGAACTCTCCCAGCACTGCATTACAATCTAATCTTCTCTGGTTTTGACGGAAATCAGAAGTCATGTCCTATATAACATTTTAGTACGTAAAAACGCTCCCTGAAAAGATGCTACTATCATGTCATTTGATTAATACAAGTGAAGAAATACGCTCCAGAGGATCGTATATAAGGCAGCACAAAGCAGCTGAACATTTCCTAAATTCCAACTGCTTGACCTAGCCTCAGAGAAGCCCCTACCTTTTGGGCAGAAAAAGTGTACTTGCCATGGATGAAGTCTTCAGACCAACCCTTTTCTAAACTTAAAAAAGACTGCACAGAGTATTTTGTGAAGTCCCATTTCTGGAGTATTATTTGACCAAATGTTGATATATTTTCATAGATAACTGCCACAGGCATAAACCACTCCCATAATAAACTATTTTCAAAGTTGCAGTTTTGAGAACAACACAGATATCCACTGAGCTCTGTGGAACAAGCCACCAAGGAGAGACACAGTGAAACCAGCATAGCAGTGTATCCTAGAAGGGATTATTACTCAACACTATGTTGAACATCAGGCAGCTAATATGAGTGAAATAGTGGTATCAGTGGCAGACAAGTGATACAAAATTATGAATTCTGACTAACAGCAAGTTTCAAACAAGACGTAAAATAGAGTCTGGTTCATAGGCATCATGATCCTTATTCTAAGCCAGACACAACACAAGAAAAACAAAAACACAATGAAAGGAAAAAAAAAGAAAGGAACTAACAGCAAAAGTGTAAGAAATGAGCTATAAAAATTGAGGTGTAGGGGCTTCATTTCTTCTGCATCCAGGCTGATTTAAGTAATTGGGACACATTCAAAGTGGAGAGAATGAATGACAGCTCTCTAGTGCCACACTTCAGGTAATTTCCTACAGTTCAACAAATGCGTGATTCTTGGGGATGAAGCATTTTATTTTTAGTTAAACAAATCTAAGCCATTCAAACATTTTTAAATTTACTGGTATCTACAATACCATCCATCTGGATGGTCTGGAAAGTGTTAACTGTAACAATAGATAACTCTTAACTCTAGCAACAACCTTGTGTCCGAAGGCTACAGAACGAACACTGCTGACAAACCCACACGTTTGGCTTTCAGAGTACATTACCTTAAGCGTTGTAGTATTCTCATCATCTGACCACTGTCAAACACAAACACAAATTAAAGGTCACTGCTATGAGACATTGTTTACAATTTATAAAAACATCAGAACTGTCTACAACATGCAAACCATTGACCTGGAGCATCTGTAACATTAAAGAAAACAAACAGAAAAAAAACACCATGTTGTGTATAGCTGTAAATTAAGAAAGGAAAAATTGTGTGTATTCTCTACATGATCAAGGACAGAGGATCCTCTGGAAACTGCAAAATAGCACCAATGCTTAGGGCCAGCATCTATTGATGTGATTATGATTAACATCAGAAATATGCACATTTCATAAATTGATTCATTCTCGCCTGGCTAAAGCTTGTCTCCATCTCCAGCACTTCCAACTTTAGACTCTGGATTCAGTAGTTTCCCCTGCATCCCTTTTTTGCTTTATTTTTGTACTTTTTGTCATCTTGTACTGACACCATTTTTCAAGGCTTTTCTTCTGGGTTACCCCACTGATCTATTTTGGCCTCGAAGATTTCCTCTGCTTCTTGAAATAACTACACACCCACTAATACTGTGTCGGGCCTGCAAAAGCAGAAATTTCAACTCCAACATTCCCTTCTCCTATAACCATTACAATAACAAAAACTTTTTTAAAAAGTTTTGCGTGAAAGAGCATAAAAACATTTTAAGCCTTCTCTGACATCACTGTATATATGACCATGTTTGTAAGTGTTTCCAGGCAAATACCATGTCGTTATTATTTGTGAAGTGCTATCCTCCCTCCAAACTATAACAAACTGGTAAATATTTATGTATTTCTCAATAGATCTCACACTAAGTTGCATTTTCACTGACCTGTATTTCCTCTGCTTCGTCATCACTCCCCTCTTGAGAACGAGTTGGAGAATCTTCTCTAAAACAAAAATGAAGGGGAGGGAGAGGGGAGAAGAGAAGGACTGAGTATTGGAGCTTGGTTTGACCGCACACACTGCGATCCCACAGTATGAATCAGTTACTGCTCTCAAAATGCTCTCATGAGGAGACTATGCCTCACAACACCTGGCAGAGAAATCAGAGCAAGTCAGGAAAGAAAAAAATAGAGAGAACACCCTGACACTAGACTTGGGCCCTATATTCAAAATGCTTTGCTTCCTTCCAATTAGCAGATCATTTTCTGTTTTGAAAACACCATAATTCAAACTTCTTCAGAGTTCTGTTAATCATTCCCTCCTGATGTTCACAATAACATAAATTAAGCGGTATTCTTTACCTTATAAGTTCACCTAATATTTCACTCCCCTTGCCCACTCTTTTTCCAAGCACAAACTTGAAAATTTGAAAAAAGATCCTTCAGTTTGGGAAAGTTCTCGTTGCCTGCAGAAGCTGCTTTCAGGGTCACTAACTTATTCATGAAGAGTTCCTTTTTTCTGCACCTACTAGATATTGCACATATGCTATAAAGAGTAGCACTTCTGTGGGGAGGTACTTCATTGTAAATATCCCCACAAAGGGGATTTTTGGAATTCCCCAGCCAATACCACTGAGCATAAAAACCACAGAGGTAGAAGATAAAGTTACTGTATTCAATGCAGCAAGCAGGCTAAGTTCAAATAACAGCTCTGCAGCAGTGTTAGCTGGTTGTAAAAAAGCTGGTTGTTAGTTTAACTAAATCTATCTCTACAGTTCCTTAATGCACTTCCACAGAAATTAAATTATCAAATCAAGTTTTTGAGTTCTAGAGGTCACATATTGGCTCACTGAGGTTTAAAACTAATGTTGACCTTGAATGTAGGAGGATCACATCAACTTCTACCTAAGAGAGCTGAGCTCACAGAAAAAAATACAGTTTTTCTTGTGGGATAGAAAAACCACTAGTTAATGTTTCGGGATGGACAAGTCTTCCAAGTCTGATCGTTAAAAGAGGCATGCAATAATCAAGTCACACAATGAGATTATAAGCAGAAAATAAAGTTTTCTCAAAACTTGAAACAGTAAAAACAAGCAGTTCTTGACTGATATTTCTCACATCTATCTATCCCATCCCCCCACATGTAAAAACTCTTGTGACGCAGGACCTACATCTTGAGCGTGTACTCATAAGACACTCAGGCCTAGTCATGTATACAGATTATATGTACTGAAATGATTACACAAGCTCAATTTTATAAGAGTTTATATTTAAATTTAAAACTTTTTATTTAATTTAGTTTACGTTATTGAGAATTAAACCCCCGTAACAACACATCATTATGGAAGACACATGACTGCTGCGGCTCAGGCCAAGGAACTAATGGTATCAAAACAACCAATTCAGAGGCACCAAAACCTGAAAAGTTGGTATGTTCTGCATGGAAAGGTGGAGAAAACTTGAGAAAAATAAAATAAGAAAACTGTCCCTAGCTGGTCTAGAATCAGGTATATCGCCTGGATTTTAGGATCTGAACCAGGCACTGGCAAGTCCTGTTCACACCGCGTTAGGTTTCCTGCAGTCAACCCAATCAAATTCACAAAACTCATTATAGAGATTACTAAATGCAAGTACAAAACATTACTGTGAATACAAAATAGTAATAACTGAAGGGGTCGCCGGCAGGAACAAGACTCTTTACCTTCCAGAAACTACAAGCGTTCCATCATCCAGCAAATATTCTTTCACATTGTCTGGCAGGGGAAGTATAGTACTGAAAACAAGAAAATAAATAAATTGATTCAAGTTAAATAAAAATAGTATATGTTGAAAGGACATATCTCAATAAAGGCATGTTCTATTCTCACACTGAAATACTCTTGCTTCCCTTCACCCCTTCCCAAAAAGCAACACCCCTTTCCTCAGCACCCTGGGGAAGCAGAAGAGATAACAGAGATTTTAAAGGAAACGCATGGAAACACCTTCCTGTCCCTTCAAACCCTTCAAGGTGCGTGCGCAGCTGCAACGGGGACACAGGACACTACACTCAGGCAGGTTTATTGACAGATACACGCTGTGCCGCTCAGGTTTATTGACAGATACACGCTGTGCCGCTCAGGTTTACTGACAGATATACACTGTGCCGCTCAGGTTTAAGGCTTCTCAGACCCAAAACTAAGTTCCCTCTATCAAACAAATGCTCCATGCCCATCTAACCCTGCCAAACCCCAAGCCAGGCCCCAGCTCACGCGCGTTTCCCACAGCCCCGCGGTCACCTCCAGCCCCGGGCGGCCCCAGCCGGATGGAACCGGCCCAGGCCCGCAGCGCGGCCCAGGCACGCTCACCTGCGGATGGTGAGTGCGCGAAAGAGCGGGTACCACACGGAAAAGCGGCAGTTCAGCACCTGCTCCTTCTTCATCCTCCCCGCTCCGCCCGGCCCGGTTCGGTTCGGTTCGGTTCGGCCCGCTCCGCCCCGCCGCTCCCGTGGGGCTCCTGGGGGCTTCGTGCTGCTAAACATAAGGACAGGTCCGATTCCTCCCTCCTCCCCTTCCCCCTGCTCCTTCCCGTCATTTTCTGCTAGTTAATTGGCTTTGTGGCTAGATTCATGTTGGTGAAACGCAAGCGCTGGTCGCGGCGAGTTAGCGGGTTACAGCCGTTTAGAGGCGTTTGGCTGCATCTGTCTTACGCACAACCTCTGTTGAGGTGCTAGGGTTAAGTTGTGCGTTAAGCGCTTGAGGGGCTCCTTCGCACGTTCCCTGAACGAGACCCGCAGATATTAAGAAACTTCCTTGTTTCATTTTGCCCTGAGCGTGTCAGGACACCGCGGCCGCGTTTCCATTGAACCTTGGAGCAGGGATGGGCAGCCTGGATCAGATAAAACCACCCGAAAAATGGGTGCAGAGGAGCCCGTCTGGGGGCTGCGGGGCAGTGGCTATTCTGACACCTGACACAGGTTCCTTCCATTGCAGCCTTTGACTTAATGTTCAGCTGCAGTCGGTCTTGCTTTGTGGGATCTGAATTGTCCTGCTCCTCCTGACAGTCTGACTAATGTTGGGTAGCAGGACTGAGGTCTTCGGTTACCTAAATCATATTTCAGCTTTCTAAAATCACTAATTTCTCACTTTTATGCAGCCAACTGAATATGAGAAAACATCTTTTTGGGGGGAAAAACTTTCTAAAATGTCATTCATAGAGTTATTGCACCCACTAGTGGAGAAAATTGAAAGTACTGAAAGTTTCATCCAGCAAAACTCTCTTGGTTTAAGAAGGAGCCTGCCCTGTTACATCCTGCAGGACTGGGCTTATGTGTTAGGGGTACTCCTGCTGTCATTCTGTTACTCAAAAATATTTTGTCCCTTTTACTCCTTTAAACTATTTTGTGAAATTAAATGTAAATCTTATATATAAGAACATTGATGTAGCTGCATGCTCATAATGTTTCAAAAATTGCAGTAGATGTTATGAGAGAAGGATAAAGATGAGGTCAAAAGATGAAAGTGCTAAAATCACTTGCCGTTCTGATACAGTGCATTGCCAGGGACCCCACAGAGCTTTGTTAAACTCCAGCTGAAATCAGTGAGATTTCTGTTGACTTTATGAAATGTTTATAATCTTAAATCAACTCTAAGAATGAGAAAATTGCCAGAGGTCATCTTGCTTCTCTTGGTGTTTAAACTGCTTTCCTCCTGCAGACTGGCTCTGTCTGTGTAGTTTGTGTCGATTTTCATCACCTCGGTGCTGGAGGCTGAAGATGGGCAGCCTGGAATAGCAGCCGCCGTGCTGCGAGTGCCCAGAGCTCTGCAGTGACAGCGGAGCCTCGTTGCTGCGGGAAACATCCCAGGGATGTTTCAAGGATCCTGGTGAAGGTCCACGGCATCACTGTCCCCGTGCCCGCCGCGCGGCTCCGCCGGGACGAGGTAAGAGCCTCCGCTGACGATCCGTTCCTCGCAGGGAGCCGTGGGGCTCGCGCTGAGCCCGCGCTGGAGCCCTGCTCGGGCCACGTGTCCCGCTGTCCCTTGCACGGCGTCGGCCGCCGCGCTTGCAGTGCGAGGCAGTGACACGCTGCCACCTCGCTGCGGCCACGGGCCCCCTCGGCTCGCGACATCCCGCTGCCTTTTCTGCCTTTGTCTCCCGGGATCGCTCTCCCACGTGCCTGGGAGGTGGGCACGGCGGAGGTGCCTTCCCGACAGTGGACACCTTCTCCCAGCAAGTCCTTCTGGCTCAGGTTTTTCCCCCTTCTCCTGTGCTGTGCTTAGTCCTGTGGCATCAATGCTCTTGGCAGAGAGCTTCACCGGATCAGAATGAAACATTTTGGCTAAAACGGAAAAACTTTGTCCCTGCGTGGGTCTAAGCACATCTGAGCTTGGAACAGTTAAGGGTAGGAGTATTATGAGTTACCCAAGTCAGGGATTTGCCCCAAACTTCCGCTTTGAATTCTCTGCCTCCGAGTCACCTGTCCCTAAGCTTCCTCAGCAGCCCTGATTTGTTGATTTGGAATGCAAAGTGAACCTTTTAGCTTTACTCCGAAAGCAAATATTGACTTTCTTTCATAGTAGCCTGGACTTTGCACAAGCGGGGGAAAGCCTGACATCCCTGAAAATGGCAGCTGAGACATCTACGGAAGCTCCAAAAACTGCCAAACAATCCATCCTGAAAGAAGAGGTACAGCATGCTTGGTTTGGACGCGTTTTATTGTTAAATGATGATTATTTAAGACTGTCCAGAATGTTTGTGAATGCAGAGTAAGAAAATGTTGTAGGTGCTCTATGTTTGTAAAATGTATTTGGACAAAACCCTTTTCCTCATGATCAGACAGTTAAAATGGTGATGGGCAGATGAAGAATTGGTAATTCTGTCTGTAAAATAATCACACAAATTATCAATGCAGGGAGAGAAGTCTACGGTATTGAGTTCTTCAAAGTATCTGCTCTGCATCACTCATTTTACAGCAGTTTTTTGAGTTGTCTGTTCAGGCTCATTCAATGTTTAGAAAATAAAGCTGCTGCCTCTGAGGGACTACAGAGCTGCGTGAGTCCTGAAACTGGGCCTACAATTCCTGTTTTTTAGGAGGAATTGCAAACAGATGCTTTAATATTTATGATTGTACCTTTTTGATGCTTTCAGAAAGGGCTGGAAAATACATTGCTGTTCTAAAGACATTACTAAGCAGGTAGTAAAGGTTTTTCAGAAATTCCTCTCACATGTTATCTATTCTCATCACTGAATCAGAAAACATGAGGTCCTAGGGAGGGAATTCTGAGATTCATTAGGCCCTAATGACCTTAATTACAACTGCTAATACTTGTTTCTGTTCTCTTTTAACCAACTGTTTAAAAGTTCAGTAAATATTGGTGTTAAATGCAGGTGTGGCAGCATTTTTACACTGTTCTAACACCAATCTTACATCTTTTATTTAGCCTGCCTTCCTTGGGTGAAAACAGTGTTATAATTCCTTTAGATTTCAATTTACCAGAACCTTTGAGAGAAGAAGAGATTCACAGTTCTGTTTATGACTTCTTCTCCTGAGTTTTTTTTTTTTAATACTCATATTTGTCAAGCATAAAGGATTTCATTTTTGTAAACATCTCAGTCCCAACAAAAATTTGCAACAAAAATGTTGGTATACTTATTTCTAACAAACAATAAATTTATCTTCTTCTAGCTATTTTTGTGATCACAGATGCTTTGGAAAGCCATTTTGTGACCGCATTGCTCTCCTTTTCAACAATTCCTGTTGCGTGGAAATATTCCAAAATATCTTTATGTAAAAATAAAAAATGTATATTTTTTATTCTTTCTTTCATACTTTCTTTTTCATTGATTGTGTACCCAGTGAGGGGAGTCACAACAAAAATTGCTTTTTCTTCTAGGGAAAGCTGGCAGCTTTTCCTTCTCCCACCCTGCAGCAAGTTTCACCTAGATTAGGGGATTCTGGAACACTTCCATTCTAAATATTTATGCTACGTGGTCTATAGTACATTCATATTGCCCCATTCTAATCTAAAGATGGTAGAGGCCAAAAGTTGTTCTTAGGAAAACCTGGTGAAAACAAACACTTTATTTGACCTTTTGCTTTATACACATAAAACCCACTTCTTTATTTTTCCTCTTTTTTGGGTGTGGGTAGGTCTGATTTTTTCACGGACTTGGAGGTTTGAGTCCCCTTCCCTTCTGTGCCTAGCAAACAATGTGTTGGCAGCAGGGCTAATGATCTGCTGGTTGGGTTGAATACTGCAACAATGTGGGGCCACGATCAATAATTTAGGCCTTTGTGTTCGCTGCAATGTTTAACAAAAACCATGAATGCAGAAGGCCGCATTTGGCTATGTGCTTGTTTGATTAACTGAAGTAAACAGGTTCCTCTCCTTGGACAAAAGGAGAAAAAAACAGAATTTTCATTTTTCTCTTCTGGATCTTCACGTACTCTAGTTCTGTTATGATGTAGGAGTGATTGCAAAGGTGTTTCTAATATACTGGAATCCTTCCAAACAGATTTACTTACTTCTATCAAACAATACATTTATCTTCTATCTATTTTTGTGACCACAAAAGCTCTGGAAAGCCATTTTGTGACCACATTGCTCCCCTTTTCAAGAATTCCCGTTACATGGAAATATTCTAAAATATCTTTTTTAAAAAAAGAAAAAAATACATTTTTTAAATTCTTTTTTTCCTGCTGCTTTTCACTGGTGAATCTCTCAATGCAAGTTCGTGATGTAGCAGTGGCTCCACTGTTCCCTTCTGCTCTTTGGTTTGCACTAGACAACTGCAATATTCCAACCACATGAACTGTCCTCAGCCTCCAGACCTTCATTTTTTGCTGCAATTCCTGATTTTTTTCAGGGCCTCTTTTCTTTGCTTTTGCATCCTTCATTTCTGTTGATAGGCAATAGCAAACCATTTTGTCATTGTATTAATTATGTCTTCTGTGGCCAAACCTATTATAAGCCTGATCCATAATTCCAGGGACAAGCCTCATGTTTACCTATGTTTGTAGCCAAGTGGGTTTTATTCATATAGCCAAAAGTACAAGTTACACTAAATAAAATAAGCTGCAGGCTGATATCCAGTTTCTACCTTGGTAAGGATTTGCATAAAAGCTGGGGAAACCCTGCAGAGGAAATGCACTTATTTGGGTCAGAAAAGACATTTTTCTAACAAGAAAAGGTCAAGAATAACCCATTTCTCTATTTCTTTTTCACCTAAAACTTGAGCTTTACTAACTCATTCTAAAAAGGGGAGGGCTAGGACCTCTTTGTACATGAAACCAGTGCATAACTTGGTTATAAAAGCCTTGTTAAAATTATGGGATTATTTTCTATTCAAAAACTTGGAGTAAATGCTCCTTCCTAATGACTGCAGGGACGTTATTACTGGTTTCTGCAGATGTTCTGATGCTGAGATTTTATGCCTTCCAAACAATTTTTTTAGATGGTTTCTTTCCCCCTCACTCTCCTCCATCTCTTTGGGCATAATTCTGTAGCTTATTTAACGATTTTTTTTTGTAGGTAATTGCTGAAAAAAAATGGTTGAGACTTGAAGAAACAACTTATGTGGATGCCTTTGGTAAAACCAGGTAATTGTTTCTCTGACATTTCAGTCCTGAAATGTTTTATGGAACAGCCACAAGCTGGAGCCTGTGAGTGCTACAAACCCATTGCTCGGTGCAAGATGCAGCTGTTGTGCAATTCCATTGTAGTTCATGCTGTTCAGAGGAAAAAAAAAGTCTTATTCTAGCAGATGGGAGTAGATTTGGCCTCTGAATCCTCTTGGGCACATTGGCCCTTGGTTTACCTCACACTTTCAGTTCTTTGCAAGGGTGCTGCTGAAATATGCTCCAGCTGTGCAATAGACAGTGATGATCACAGACCCTTCCCTTGGAATTCTCTCCTTCTTCATTAAGGGCTCTTTTTCCCGGCTAACAGTGCACGGCCTTGCATACTACTGCTAAGTTACTGTCCTCTTGTATATTATTGGGCCTGTCCAGTTCTTCTGTATGCTTCAAAATAAAAGAGAATGCATGTGGTTTTGTTACCTCTCAAAACAAAACTTTCTGACAAAATATGGGCCATATATAACGTGGTTTATTTTGCACTTTTCCATGATTGCTTTTATAAGATTGGCTGCCTCTGTGATGATCATTTTGGTCCGTCCCTTTTTCTTAGTCATCTTAAGCTGTAAGTTAGATGTTCTCAAGCTCCCTGAGTAGGTAATAGAAAATTATATTGCAGACATTTTGAAGTGCTGAAATGGGGCAGGAGTTGCCTGAGGGCAGCTGATCTCTCATGTATGATAGTATATTTTGCTTTTAAATGAACATAACAAAGCTAGAAGCAGACTTTTACAAACAAGATGTCTAGAGTTGCTTTAATGTGTCGGTTTTACCTTTTCTCCTTGCTGAACAGAACTTGGGAAACTGTAAAGCGTGCTAACAAGAAACAGGGTGTTTCAGCGGATGGTAAGGCACTGGTGCTTTCTTTTTTGCTTGTTTATTTGCATTTTTTTTTACCTCTTGTGAAAATTCTTACAATGTTCTAGCGTTTTGTCAAACAGCCATAATGTGCTGCAGACTCAGCAGTGACATGTTTAAAAATGGAGAATGCAGAACATAGAGCCCAGCAGGGCCTGGTGCTTTGAAACTGAAAAGGGGTTTAATGCGTTTTAACAAAAAGCTGCCTTAAAAGCTCAGGAATCAGAACCTCACTGGCGTGAGCATTTTCTCAGGATGTCTGTATTAATTTGGGAGCAATGGAGCTGTTTCCAAGACGTGCCTGCAGCAGGGCAGGTCACAGGCTGGTGGGCTGGACCTGCTGTCAGGTCTTGCTTAGTACTTCCCCCTCTGGAGTGCTGGGATTTGTTTGTTTTTGGAGAACCCATTTTAGGGTTTTGTAGTTTGCCGTGCATCACATAAGGAGCTTAAGTTCATGGTTCAGCATTCTGGGGCAGACATACACGTTTGTCACATTAACGTTCAGTTTTACAGTCCTGAGGTTCATTTCCAGAGCTAGCAATAAACCCTCACTTCCTCTTACACCTAAATCCTGTAAATCGGATGCAGTTTTGTCTTTTCCCCTTGCTGGCAGGTGTCGCAGTCATCGCTGTGCTGCAGAGGACTCTCCACTATGACTGTGTTGTCCTAGTGAAACAGTTCAGGCCTCCAATTAGTGGCTATTGCTTGGAGTTTCCTGCAGGTGAGTAACGGAGACACTGAGATGAGACACAAAGCTGGTAGTTGAGGTTAAGTGTGCTTGGAAGGACAATCTTGAGGTGGTCACTCCTATCAGGAGTTATTAGTGGTCTCTGTAACTCAGAGTGTTGTTCAGAAACAGGACTATTTGCTAATGAAGACTGCAAAATAAACAGTGTTTATTTTAGCAGATTGGAGAGGTTTTACACAGCAGTCTGGGAGAATAGTCGCATTTCCCTTTGCTCCTCTCTGCAAGAGCCAAGGAGTTTGGCTTCTTTGGAATCCTTCCTAATGCCCAAGTTTTTCCCTTGGTAGAAATATTGAGGATGCACTGGGGATGTTTTACCTCATTTGTAAAGCTGGCTTAGATTTCAGAGTGGGTATTTAAGTGCTGACCTTTGACATGTTTTCACATACTACTTGTCTCCCAGGCCTCATGGAGGAAAATGAGACTGCGGAAAGTGCTGCGTTGCGAGAGTTGGAGGAAGAAACCGGGTACATAGGGGAAGTTGTTGAATGTACTCCAGGTCTTTGCCTTTCTTTTTTCTTTTGATTTCCCCTTCAAAGCTCAGTCTGTGTCTGATGGAGATTAAATGTAAGGAAATAATGTGACCCCACAGCTTAGCAGAGTGAAAGGCCATGGCTGAACCTCTCTTACACACAGTGCCAAGTCTGTAGAGGGAAAGTTAGTTCTTAGTTAAGATCCTTTACACAAATCTCAGCACAGATGAAGCTGAGATTTAGCTTTTTTAGTGTAAAGGTCTAAGGGAGAAAGCACCAGTTGCCTGCTGCAGTCCTGGGGTAGGAGAGCATCCTCAATTCAGTTATAAGAAGATAACAGGACTCAGGGTGTCCAAGAGGAAAAAGAAAATTGGAGAAAATTGGACCATGATTGCTATTAATGTAGTGCTTCCTGTGTAACACAAAACAAAGGCAGAAACTAGAATCTTAAAACTAGTGAGAAGGGGAAAAGATAAGTCAACTTCAACACATTTTCAAGTAAAGGTCACTTATCAGTTAAACTTGGCTCTTGGTTACAGGATACAACTAACTGTGCTGGGAGCTGAGAGAGATGGAGACGGGGCAGGGCAGGACTAGGCTTTAGTATTGCTGCCCAAGGAATTCTATAGGGGAACTTTAGTTTACAGCTTGATTTACAAGCTAGCATTTATTGTTTGAGGTAGGGGAAGAAAGGAGGGACACTGTGGGAAATGGAGGGAAAAGTATACTTAAGTGCTGGAAACACACATCTTAAAAGGAACTGATAGATGAAAGCTACAGAAGCCTCAGTTCTCAGAACATAGACAAACTCCTCCAGCACAAACGTATGTCACATGTATGTTCTATCAGATGTAACTGGATGGAAGTTTTTGTTAAAATGGCAAAAATTTGAAAAATGAACCTGTACTTTTGCTTGCTTGTAGCTCTCTGCTTGGACCCGGGTTTGTCTAACAGCACAACACACATCGTGACTGTCACCATTAACGGAGATGATGCCAGGAATATAAGACCTAAGCAAAAACTTGGTGAGCCTTGTCCCATTTATGTGGAAATTCTGAGATAACTAACTGACCAATTGATTAAATGGAACTAACCCTGCCACCCCATCCTTCTCTTCCATCCTTACTGATGTAGAGGGTACAATTAATGCCCTAGCAAATGTTCTCCAGTCTTAGATAAGCACAACCATGTTTCTGGACTAAAAGTGGGATGCTGTCAGGTGGGGGCATGTTCACCATCAAAGGTGCCAAACGTCAATGAGGGCCACAAGTTCCTGTGAACTTAGATCTTACTCTTAGCTATGGCTGGACCGTGGAAGTAACTGATTTCACTCAGTTGGTATCAAAGTGCTTTTATGCTTTTAGTTGTAAACTCCAGTGTATTTGAAAAGCCTTGACTGATTTATTCTTTCTGTTTACAGATGATGGAGGTATGTTACTCCCCAGTGACAGTAAGGTCAAGCACGCTCTTCCTGGAGCAGGTTTTACTCAGAAAATGTGTCTGTTGAAAGACTATTTTTTAGTTAGGGTTGGTTAAAGCTCTGTGCAGTGCTCACATGATCCAAACCAAACGCACAGTACAGCAGCTTTGGCCTAGACATGAAAATCCCTGTTGGGCTTCATCACCTCATGAAGCACCCCGCATAGCATCTATAGCACCAGAACCTCAGTACATTAAATCCACAGCAGCTGCACACCAAGCCCCAGAGACAACTCGTGCAGGTAGTGGAATCACTAGGCAAATTTTGGAAAACAAATTCAAGAGCATCAGGAACAGACCCTTGAGTTTCAGATATGGGGCTCTTTTGGCCTTCAGTCAAATATATTCCAAATCCATTACTGTACCAGTCGAGCAAAACAAAACTCAATTTTAACAGGATGAGCTCATCCAGTTTTAGAAGGGAGACAAGACTGCTTTTACAAAGTCTCTCATCCTCCCTGCCTTGTAGCTGCACTGGGTTTTTCCCGACTCCCCTTTTCTTTCTGCCAAAGTTGCTTTTTAAGTGACTGCTGGTCATCTTCCTTTCCCTCCCACCACTTAATCATCCTAATTATGATGTCTGAAGGCTTAGAGATTTTGGATGAGGATAAGCACAATTCCAGTGTTCCCTCCTCTAAGTTGAGGAGGATAAGGCAGAGAGAGACTTTCATAATATTAAAGATATATAAAGAAAAAAAAATCATTTTTTCCTCTCCTCTCCTAGAATTTGTGGAAGTTATCTCACTTCCAAAGAACGACCTGCTGCAAAGAATTGATGGTAAGAGCTCTCCAACACATTAAATGCACCAATGTCAGCTTTAAGAAACCCTTCACTCCATTCCCACAGCTCTTCAATGACCTCCACTCCCCCAAAAGAAAATAAATAAAAAAAAAAGCTGAGAGAGACTTGGCCAGGTAGCAGAATTACTTACAGCATTAATTGTTAGCATAAACACTTGCTTTCTATAATGCTGTGTATCTTCATTTTAGTAACGGATCTAATTACATTTATGAAGTTAACAGCACTTTTTTTTTTTTTTTTTTTTTTTGGCAGAACTAGTAGCAGAGGAACACATTGCAGTTGATGCCAGAGTTTATACTTACGCCCTGGCCTTGAAACGTGCAACAGAAAAACCGCTCCAGGTTCCTTTTATGAAGTTCTAGGGCTGCACCATGAGAAACGTAGCTGAAGCTGCTCCGCTGCCTATAGAGGCGCAGTCCTGGTGGAAGAGGTCCTTCTGCAGAGTCAAAATTAGTGTTTGTAGGAATGATTCTGATATTTCTGGAATTATGTAACTGACAAAATATTTCTTACTGCTCAGTCTATCAAGCCTTGACAAAATCATAATAAAAATGCTGTTTAATTTTCAAAATATTTTCTTTCTCACTGCACTTACAGCTCAGGATATACAAGACACCTAAGTCACTGCAATTGGTGTTTTAAGCTCTCTTCCTCCCATTGAACAGCTGTTATGTAACTTGTGCACGTGGACTATATTGATACCTGAATTCAAGCAGCTTTAAAACAACCACATGTGATTTTCCGCAATGGGAGCAGCAACAGCTGCACAAGGCCCCCCTCTGTCTATTCCAAATCCACTATATGGTATTGCACTTTTTTTTTAATGATTTAGACTTGAAGATGTCACTTCATTACCCCAGCCCTAACTACATGAGCCCCGTCAGAAAACTTTTTTGTCTGATACAAGTATTGTATTGTTTGTCTGATACAAATATTGTTTAACCCAAGAAAATAAACCTGTATTTTAGCCTCATCACCTCTAGGTAATTTGCCAGCCAAGCCTGCAGATGCAGCTGTGCCAACACACAAATTTTGTGAATAACCACCACAGCTTCAAGGTTTATATCCAACAGTCATAGACAGCCCCTGCAGGTATCAAAGTCCTGCTGCTGAAATAAATTGGATGAACAAGCAGAATTAGCAAGATTTTCCTATATAATAAATTAAGTAGATTCTACCTTCATAAATAACACAAGGTTCCTTTCAACTTAAATGTGAAAAAGATCAAAATATGAAATCAAAGAGAAAAAGCCTTTGCCCACAGCTAAGCAGAGAGTGCAACGATTTTAATGGGGGAAAAGTCGGGATTTTCTTACTAGGGCTGCTAAAGCCTCTCAGAACTACATTCTAGAAGGAAAAAAGAGAAACAGGAAAAGGGAACCTCCCCCACCTTATTCATTAACCCAGCATGTTAATTGGAAGCTACACAGCGATTCCATCTCGCACCGATGAGACACAGCAAAGAGCTTAATTAAATAAGTTTATTGTCTAATGTTTACACTTGTTACATTGCCACTGTAAACCGCGGCAACATAAATAAGTTGGCAGCAGGAACTGCGCGTTCCCGCCGCGTTCCCTTCTCCGGGCGGCGCTGCAGGCGGCCGCCCTCGTCCCTCACAATCACAGAGGCAACGTGGACACGACGTTTGGGTGGCACGGTTAGCACGAGTGCGCGGGGGAAACAGAACTTGCGAGCGGGACGGCAGCAGCTGCGCGGCCCTCGGGAAGCCCAGGGCCCTGCAGGGCAGCAGCCATGGCAGAACCAGCTTGCAGGTGAGAGGGGGTATCAGCCTGGGGCAAAACCCTCTGCTTGTCCTCCCTCAGAGCCAAGAGAAAGGTGCCTGGGTGGAGATGCCGCAAAGAAGTGCCAAAGAGTTCAATGATGGGGAAATGCTAGTTTAAAAAGTATATTAAAAAAATCATGTAAAATACAGGCTACAAATTGTGTCAGGAATACTGGTATGGGGCAATTGAACTCAGATTTTTTTTTTCCTACTAAGAACTAGGAAATAAATTGAACACCTCAATGCTGCGTGCAAAAATGTTTACCAAGAGCAAACTGATACATTTTCCCATCTCATGGTAGTGTCTGAACAGCAAGATAGATGAATTGGTTTCCAGCATTACAGGCAACACTAGATTTACTTAAACAAGATAATGTAAACTTGATTCTTAAGGCAGCTGGTACTGATGCTGCTCACAGGCATTGCTCAATGCCCATTACAATAATGGGACACGTAGCACTTGAAAACAAGTAAAAAGAAAATAGCATTATTGGACTAAATGATGCAGGTTGTCAAAATACTTTCCCTTTCACACAAGCCATGAAATATTCGGACATCTAGAAAAATAGTGCCCCTACTCCTCCAACTTCAGCCTGTTCTTTTACAAATATTTCAAAATACTGGTAGATAATGGTGACCGCGAGCAGGATGCCGGTGCCCGAGCCGATGGCGCCGAGGAAGTCAGCTAATACTGAGAGGGCGCCGATGCACAAGCCACCAAACGCAGCTGCTGTGGGGATATATCTGCAAAAAAACGTATTCATCATCATTCCTTTATATCCAGGGGCAAAAATACACAAAAACACAGCCTGAATATTTAGAGAATAGCTGCAACTCGGCTATAAACTCCTATGATCTTCTAAACTCTGTGCACATGAAGTAGAAACTAAAATAAATATTCACTGCTAAAAAAGCTATGGGAATCATTAAACACTGGCAATATTTTTTTTATTAACAGCATAACAATTTTGTATATACACACGGTACATAACCTCCACAGGACCAAGAACAACTCCTCTGACACTGAAATGCTATATAAATATAGGGATAAAATCTGACTTTCCATTCAGCTCTGCAGACTTTACATGTTGCAGATAATACCACTATTTTAGCATCTTTTTGGTTCAGTAATAGTAAACTAAGTACATTAACTCCAGCTATCTTCCTTTTTCAAACATGGAAGAGATCCATCCCAAATTTCTATATTACCTTCTGCTTAAACAAAAGACACTGTACAATAATCTCTTAATTACTGCTATAAACATCACAAACCTCTCTCATCTCACCAGGAAAGAGAACAGTTGGATGGGAAAAAAATCTTGAGATTTGCACTGGAAACAAGACTCCAATTCTGCAGAGAATCTGCTCTAGCTGACATCGCCCCAGTCCAACTCTTACCTACCCAGTATGGCAGCACTGCTGGAAGCCACGTGAGTTTTTATTTTACCTGTTAAGCTCGTGAACCATGGAGGTGTCCCTGTGGCCTCTCATCACCATTTGTTGCTCTTTGAGTTGCTTGGCAACCTGCAGAAAGAGAATTTTATAAGCCTACCGCAGTGCTTCATAATCAGCTGATATTTAGTCAGAGTAATAACTGTGATCAGTTAGAAACTAATCAGTGCTAAGCAAGAGGCAACATCTGAAAAACATAACAATTAGACACATTCACCGGAACACCCACATCTTTTGCTGATGATCCGGACACCTCAATCCAAGTTTTTGAGAAGAATGCACAGGATCCCAACATAAAAATTATGTAAACTATTACATGGACAGGATCCTCAAATATTGCACCCATGGATTCGGGGGGGGACAAATAGTAGCAGAGGCCACCAACAGGATAAGACCGAGCAGGGCCACCACCACTGACATCCTGCAAAAGAGGAAGAAAAAGGCAATTAGTTATTTCTCACAGACCTCTCACATTCCTGTTCTACATTTATGGAGGAAAGGATTCCTCCACAGTGTTTAAAAGAGCATCTACATACAAGTCTTAAAAAGTATTTCAGTTTTCTATTGGTTAAATATAAATGTTTTACAATCAAGTTGCATATTGATTATATATTTATTAAAAAATAGTAAAATACTTACTGCCCACTGTCCTAATAAGTTTACCAAGAAGTTGCCACTAAAACGCACAGACAACATCTGGGAAATAACGTAGAGGTTTGAAACTAAGGCAGACTGCAGAATGATGGGAATGTTGGAGGTGTAGAAGAGCTTGATAGGGTAGCTACTGTATTGTCCTCGATATCGCGCAGACTTGATAGGTAAATCGACACGAAATCCCTAAGGGGGAGAACACAAAGGTACAGAGTTTATTTCTAAAATAAAAGGTTCTCCTAGCAGGCTTAAAAGCTATTCCTGGCGGGGTTTTTTTTTTGCTAGGTTAAAAAAAAAAAAAAAGTGTGCAAGGTGTGGAACAGTAAAGCTCAAAGGCCTTCTGCTAGAGTCAGAACCACAGATTTTCAAACTTCTTAGCATTACTTCTTGGTTGTGAGCTATTTTTCTCTAAAATAATCTACTTCGTGGCATAGGGCTTGATAAAAACCTTTAATGTTTTCTAACTAGTTGGTATCAAAAGATTGCAGTATTTGTAAGCCTGGCCTTTTATGGCCCAGCTTTTTATGTAAGCCTCTCAAGGGTTAGATTTCTATCTGAGCAGGCACAAGAAAAGCCTAATTTAAACAACAGAATTCTGAATTTTTTTGCCAGCACTTGGCCCCAATAGCTTAAATAATAAGAATCACTATATAGATCTCCTTTAGCATTCATTTTTAATATATATTCAAATTTAAAAACCAGAGGGTTGAATCTTTAGAGAAAAAAATAGGAAAAAGGTCTAGACATTACCTGCACTGTTGTTCTCTAGAACAAATCTGTATCATGCAAACCCCAAAGCAGCAAGGTTCTCTAGGTCTTTTTGAAAAGCATCTTTTAACTATATTAAGTATATTATTTGTACAATAAAACTAGGTTTGGGGACTCCAATGTGTTTAATAAAAACAGCCTCATAGTGGGCGCATCCCTTTACAGTCTCACAAAAGCCTTCTGTTTCGCTACCTGAGTAGAAGTCCTGGCTATAAGATTTCGCAGCCCTACTGTTGTGGAGTTATGTTACCAAAATAACAGTACTGAAAAAGAAAAAATGAAGAAAGTTCCTTGCTCAAAGCTAGGATACTTCAGTTATTCAAGTTCAACTTTTGCAATAATTTCTTGCTCAGTGAATGCAGTGCCTAGAGTCCTTGCACTTCTTCACAAGCCATTTCAGACCTACGAAGAATTTTTCACTTTACCTGGAAATATATAACTACTGCAAACACAAACACTGTGGCAATCAGATTCATGAGGTTGGGCAGGTTCTGTCGGTAAAAGGCTTCCCGCAAAGCGCGGACTTTGTCAGTCCGGGTGGCCAGAAGATGGAACAAGGCAATCACGGCGCCTTCAAACTCCGTCCCTGCACATGCCAACAGAAGGAAAAGAAATCTAAGATATCCAAAAGGAAGACATAATTCTATTACTACTATTATTTAATGATCTGACTTTAATCTACTACTGCTTTAAACACTACATACACATGTAATCAGATAAAACATGACAAATCCTGTTACAACAAAATTATCACAACCTAGGTGGGTTTTTGGTAGAATTAAGCATTTAGTTTGTAGAACTCAGAATCATCTATCAAACATTATTACTGATAAGAGACCTACAATTCTCACACAGAAAAAATATACTCCTTTTCTGTTATTTTCTGGGGGTATGGGAAGAAAATAATAAGAGTCCTACAGAAGAGTAATAAGGCACAATAAACATATGCTAGAAATCATCTATGAATATTAAAGCAAAGGAAAAACAGGGCTCAAGATTTCAAATATACACATTAAACTAATAGTTTAAACCACAAGTTTTTGATGCAGGTCCAGGATGCATCTCAATTTGGTATGTCCACGGGCTCAAAACAACCAGATATTGTCAAAGGATGCCTGAGAAAAGCACAGATGGTATTGTCCAACATATCAAACAGGCTGAGAGTAATTTGGGGCACTAAGTCTAAAAGTATCCTGTAGCCACAGACAATAGTTGGATCATAACTCTTCTAAATAAACAGAATCTAATATCTTTTCTATTTCTAAATTATACAAAATAGGGTGAAATTGCAGAGGTCTTCAATCGATATTGTTCCCACTTTAACTGCAATTCAAATCAGAAGGAAATGTGGATTATTAACCTTCAGGCAGTTATTTTATTGTTTGACATCATTTTCACCTTCTGTGTTAAACAACTGATTTTAAGGCAGGCCACACATTAAAAAACCTTTTTGATAAGCGACAAATAACTGATAACTTTTTATGTAGCATATATCCAGTGAAACACATAATTTACTGTAATAGCACACGTACCTCTGCCAGTGTTAATGGTAGTGGGACTAAAAGCCTTCCAGACAATGGTTTCACAGATATTGGTAGCAATAAAGAGGGAAATACCAGATCCCAAACCATAACCTTTCTGTAGCAACTCATCTAACAGCAGCACAATCAAACCAGCAACAAACAGCTGTGGGAAAACAAACAAAACTGAGCAGAAACAAGAATAAATCAAGAATTAATTCCCTGCATCAGCGTTTTCATCATATTAGAGAGACTGATCATTAAGCTGTTAATCTAACTATTATTAAAGAGTATTTTTGACTTCATGTACACATGGCCGCATCTCACCTTGCAATAATTTCTGTGACTTCAATGTTGATGCTAACAAACAAACATCTTTTTTTCCCCCTCCAAAAATGCTCAAGTCTGTGCATTTACTGTTTTGCCCTACAGGATAATGTCTCAAAACTGCATCTGCAGTCTATTCCTGAATTTGGATTCAAACAACCACTCCTATCTGAAATACTTGTGGTATTCACTATCCCAGCTTTCTCCTCCCTTATGGAAGATTTAAAATTTCTCATATATATTTGGATAGAAAGGATACTTTATAGTATGAAAAATAAGCAGATAAATAAAAGCCAACAAGACAGGAAAGAAAATATTTGTCCCCCACCAGTTACAATGTAGCTAAGCCGTCCCAGTTACCCACAAAATAACTCATTACAAACCTGAATTATAATAAGAAGACAAAAAAAATTGCCCAATGGTAATAATCATCCCAAACACTAAAGCAAAAGAGAGAAAGCAAACCCTTTAAAAATATCTTTCGAGTTCATCTGCTAGTAAAGAAACCTCACATCTAGTACTTTTATTCTTGGCAAAGAAGCCTGCTTAAGTAATAAATGCTTCTTAATTTTAACCAGACAGTGCTTACGTTTCTGGGCTCCATTGAACAAGGCTCTGTCTTTTGGAGTATCACCAACTTCAATGATTTTTGCTCCAGCCAGCAGCTGCATTATCAACCCAGATGTCACAATAGGTGAAATACCCAACTCCATCAATGTACCTGAACAGGGAGAAAAATTAATACAATTGCAATTCAAGAATCTCTCCTAAGGGATTACACATGGAGGATATTAAGCCTGTTGAAAGGTGTCTGAACCTACAGAGAACATTTCTCATAATGCTTCAAACATGCATATTCAAATACAGGGACAATTAAAAATAAATCTCCTCACACAAAGGGTACTGTGTTAACATCTCCAATTTTGAAGGCAGCATGAGAAACACAATCTTTCACTTAAAATATTTTTGTGAAACTGCTATCACCAAAGTTTGATGCCTATTGCTGGTTGTTTGATATATATTGAGGAACCTTTCACTGCAAAAAGCCTTCTCTTTGGGTCCCTGTTGTCCCCACTTCAGCTGTGACTACCACATTTTCAAAAAGTTCAGTTGTGGCAACCACAGGGAAGATGTTGCAGATCCAGAGTAGCTGATGTGCCACTCTGGATCACTGCCTCTAGTTGAAAGCATAAAAGTTGAGGATTAAACTGATCCTTCGTAACCAAAAAAGAAAGCCACGTCATTATTAAGATGCTCTAGATATTAATTTTTCAGTGGTTTATAATCTAATCAGAGAATTACAACTTCATAAAACACCAATTCTGCACCATGTGCTCTTATACCAGGAAATCTACCCTTTTTTTTTAATCCCCCCAAGAAATACTTCTCCTGTGGAGCAGAATTCATCTTGTTTGCATCCTCAGACTGCCACAGTTACAAAACCAGCACTCTTATCAAATACTATAATTCAGGTATATTCCCAGCAACATCTTCTTTAAGGGCTGATATCTCCTGCAGTTCTGCAGGAAGCAGAACTGAATCTAATCAAAGCAATTAAAGCCAGGAAGGAAAAGCCCATCTTTTAACCCTGAATAAAACACTCCCCCACCTTAATACAGAAACATTCCTCCATCTGATCTTTTTAGTGCAATAGTGCTACAAAAAAAGATAACTTCTGAAATTTAATTTATCCTTCAGAAAATTAGAGAAAAATCTCTTCTATAAGAAGATGTTACAATCTTAGAAAAACAAAATATTGAAAATTTGGATGAAAATTAAGAAGCTAAACTAGCAAGTGATCATTTTTTTCCTAAGCTGTAACTTTAAATTTGAGACAAAAAAAAAAGAAGCGCTTGTGTGAGAACATTTTTTAAAGGTTTAATATTAAATCAAGCAAAACCAAATTACTTTTTAAACCATCTTTTACATGATTAGAGGAACGAAATAACTTCATAAAAATACATATTTAAGATGTAATACCCACCAGGAAGATTAAGATGAGAATCAGCTTACAATTATTTAGAACTCTCAACACTTACGCATAACTCTGCTTTTACTTGCAACATATTTGTGACCTATCATAAAATTATCAGCAAAATTAACAAAAAAGTATTTAGTCACTGCAGACTGGAGAAAAAGTAGAAAAAGGATATTCATAGTTGATCAGACTAGATCAAATCTGATCTAGACTAGTTGATCCAACTAGAAACTTATGCATCCTCACAGTCCATCTGTGAACAGGGCTTCTTCTTCGGGGATAGTATCACTCTCTTTTCCCAATATCTTAATAATTTACTCAGAAGCTGCATCTTGTGGCTTCTGCAAATACGCTGGTAGATCTGCTGCTTAATAATCACACTGGCTGCCCCTTCATTGTTACACTATTGATTATCCATTTCCTATTCACTTTATTTTCCCCACAGAGATCAAGATTTCAAAGACATCTGGGACATAACACATTATATGATGAAGAAACCTTACTTATTTAGGATCTCCTTCTACACATTAACTCCTACCTTATATTTGCCCTGTTGTCTTTTTCTGAGTGTTTCCTAGATCCACTATGTCCTTCGTGGGATGGTAGGTTAGAACTGCATGCAATATTCAATTTGTGGCACCCTATGGATTTATACAGACATTTCTTTGTATCCTTTCAACAGTTGTTAATCCATTAGCAGATCTTCCCTCTTATCCCACAATAGTTTCATTTCCTGAAGAGCCTTTGACAAATAACCTGAACTTTAAGTTCAGTGGTGTTAAGCACCTCCCCTCCTGTCTGAAGTCTTTTCATTGTCTTTTATCTACAAAATTCCTCATTTAAGGTTTTGAGCTGAAGTAAGATTGCATTGGTTTATATTTATTTACTTTTCTTACCACAATGTAGAATGAAAACATTAAAGTCATGGTCATATTCTGCTTATTTCAGACTTGCATCTTAGCTTCTACATACAGCTCAGTACCAAAACAAACATGCTCTCTACCTAGGAAATCTCTATTTTTCCAACAAGCAAGAAAATATGAAACACATTATTTAACATCCTGTAATGACATCTACTAAGCTGATTTAGGTGTAAATTAACTTTCCCACTCCCCCTTCTTGTTGTCTTTACAGACTTTCTAGTCTTTTCTTGGCCACTATCCCTATTCTGCATAATGGGTAGTATATTTGGTCTGTGACACAAAACTTAGTTTGAGACACAACATTTTATATACGAATTCTGCAATAAAGTTTGAAAGAGATGAATTATTTACCTGAATATTATCTTCCCCAGCATGAGCCACTCTGCCATTCCTAAATAACTTGTAGCTTCACATTATAGGCTGCCACCAATTCTCAAGCTTCCAACTAATTTTCTAAGACACAGATGAGCTCAACGTTCTCACTAAGCATGGTAGGACACCCACCTTAGTTTTAGACTTCTAGCATTAGTACAAAAGTTCTTATGCATTTGCTTTGGGGCCAGCTGTCTATTTTAAAACAAGTTATTTGACCTCAGCCATAACATCGTCAAAGTACTATAAGGCAGAATGAAGCTGCAGAGCATGACGTGTGAGGTGCTGGTCAAGGCTCTCACAGCGCAGTGTGTTACTTGTAGTGAGAGGAAGACAACATTCCCCATATTAATCAGAAAAGGATGCATCAACAGCTTGAAACACAATCAGTCCTAAAGGTGAGGATTGAAATTAACCTCATTTACAGATCAAAGGAGACCCCATTCCTAAGGGGAAGTATTCCTCAGGTATCAGTCATTTATGAATACAAAGCACTACATCTGTGTTGAGCACTTTACAAAGTGTTCCCATGAGACATCTGGGTATATGACATTTAATATTTCAACATCAATTTAACAGCCAACAGTTTTTATTCCAGCCTGTTTAGGCTCATACAACACAGAAGAAAGAACTGATCTACTCACCTCTGTTTGACGCAAGGATGACTCGCATCCAGTAGAAAGGATCTGCCGAGTCTGATGACATGATTCCAAACAAAGGTATCTGTTCAAGCACACAATGTATATTAAGCATATATACAAAGAGCTTGCCTTAAACCAAGAACCGTAACCTGCAATGACTCAACTGTTAAACTGTTTAGGATAATTTATTCCAACTTTTTTTTCTTTTTAATTAAACAGAATATACATTAGCAGACACGCTGACAGCACCTTTTCTACTCCTCTAACTGTGGTATGACTCAGGGGTCTAAACTATAGAACTTAAGATTTTTTTTCTGCAGAAAAAAAAAGAAAAGCAGAAATCTCTACAAAGAGGATTCAAAGCACATGAATAATATAATCCCCTAAAAAAAAAAAAGCATAAATAGGTTAGCTACCACAATTCTTTAAGAATCTACCATCTTTATGCAATATACTGTTGTTTATTTCACCAACATCTTTGTAGCAATTTTGAGTTTTACAGAAATAAAACAAAGAGTAACAGAATATTTTTAAGACAACAGAAAGTATTATTTTAATGGTCCTAAGCATTTATTTTCAATGCAAATTAAAGATACAGCAAAAAACTTCAATGCATGCTTCTTTCTAAGCTTCTAAGGCTATCTTAATCAGGAACACAGCATACTAGGAGTACAGGCAACCCAAAATGTTTTTCTAGATTACTGCTTTCTAGTCTGGACTACCTACTGTAAGCTTTTGTACGGATAAGTATTCTTTAAAAAAGAACATATCCATTTGTAACCCAAGTACAGGTTCTAGGAACTCTTGCAGCTATGAGTAATAAAGACTTCGGAAACATTTACAAAGATCTGTATTTTGATGGCTTTTAAGCTAACATATTTGTCAGTACTTTCACAAAGCCAAGTTCTAAATGCCAACTTAAATTCTTCAGAAGGTTGCAGAAGGATGTTTTTCAACACATGAGCTCATTTAAGAGGAACCAAGTAAAAACACTCACTTTCACTTCATTTTTAAACTTGTCACTGCTAATACTATGTAACTTAAAATGTTAAGTCAACATAAAACAAGAGTTCCTTACACTCCGGACAAATATTTCTATACACAGAGCATAGTTTATATGCTCAGAACATATCCTTTCTGCACCACACAAAAAACACCAGAACCTACCTGGCAGCATACTAAGAAAATGAAGAGTGTGATAGCTGTCCATAGTACCTTCTCTCGGAACTGGATCTAAGAACCACAAGGCAGAGATTAATTAATGTTTCCATTGTATCTATATAGCTTTCCCTCTAGTACCATATTAGTATTGAACATTTTATCATTCAAAATTAAAGGTGAATGTATTAAACCAGAAAGCATAATTTCTCATTAGAAATTATTTTAATAGGATTTTCAGATGTTATGTAGACACCCTCATAGAGCTTCTGTGTAGCCAACGAAAACATAAAGGTGATACAGCAGTGCACCTGACATTTAAAACATATTTTAGCAATAATAATCTAACAATCTGGGTATTTACTGAAAAATAGCAGAATTGAACAAATTTGAAAAGTTAATTAAGAAAATTATCTTCAGTGATTCCAACTCTGGGTTTCAAGAGATTGTAGGCAATATTTTGCTGTGTTAGAAGTTATTAGACTAAAGCATCCTAAAGTTTTGAAAGAGATTTAGCTGTAGTGAAGGCAAGTAGAGGCAGAAGAACCATGAGTTTTGAATAGTAATCTGGAACATTTAGAATGAAGTTAAGAGAAATCTTAAATTCACTGTAATGTGAACGGACACAAGCCATAAAGTAATCTTAAGACTTTTTGTCTTTCAAAATATTTCTAACTATGTAAATTGCGTTTTACTTCTGCAAGATCATGACATCAATGATCACCAGTTACTATATATGGGAGAAAATCTCAGGGCCAGAAGTGCTGAGGCAGGTTCAAGAATAGAAGTGTAATTTCTAATCAGGAGATTATTCAAAGCCCAAGACAGAGAAAAAAAACACACTTGAAGAGACCAAGAGAGCTAAGATGCAGAATTATGCTCAGGTTTGTACCTCTCTTCCCCAAGGTTATCCCATACACTGGGAAAGGTGTATTCACTATAGCCAAGAGCACAGCAGTTACTAAAATGCAACATGAACTAACATGTTGTAGAAAGAGCTTTCTGACTCCAGCCACTGAATCTGCCTGCAGAGAAGTAACCAGAAAAAAAAAAAAAAAAAAAGAAAGAGATTAGTGCCTCGTTTCATAGGTCCTGAACACCTTCACATGACAAGATATGAACAGATGCAACAGGGCAACTGCTTAAGATGGCCCAGGAAAATAAATAGTTTATCTCTTTAGAATTAAAAGCATCTACTTAGAAGCAAAATATCCCTGTAGGTTAACATATTTACGGATGTAACCTCATTCTTTCAAAAGAGGTCAGATGATAAAAATACTCACAGCACCAAGTAAAATAATGACAGCAGCAAAGAAACCCAAACACTATCTTTATGTTCGATTTTACAGAGTACTAACCCACTTTAAGTGCTGACTGAATACTGCAGATTTTAAGTACAGACTTTTAAATACAAAAAAAGCTTAACAAAATGCTTTGTTAAACACTTAACTGCAGCACATCAGATAGAGACTGAAACCTCAAAAGCTCAGTCTGAAGCACTACAGTCCCTCTGTCTCTCTCTGTAACTACAGCAAATAGAAGCACTAGAGAAATTCAGTATCACGTCAATCACTTTTCATTCACAAGTAACACTCCCTGAAGCCATATGCCAGGAACAGCAAATACAAAATGGGAATTAAGATCAGTAAAGGAGCACAGGGACAATACATTCCATTGACTGCTCAGATCTGGTTGGACATTTCATTCCTTCAGCATTTTTTTCTCATAACTTGTGAAAATCAATCAACTTCAGTACCATCTTCTTGCTGTTCTGAACATTCTGTTCCATTGCTTAGGGAAGTCTGTGCATAGAAAACAAATATGAACCCAAACTAGTAACTGCTAAAAGTAGCAATTGCTTCCATCAATGAACTTGACCAAAACACAACACTCCTTAATGCCAGAAAAATAAAAAGGAAAAAGTTTAGGTGAGAGTCCACCTGAAATAAAACTCTATCTTCGTTCAACTTAAATTTATAGACTTTCTTTTTCTTCATTTTTTTTCTTGTCTTAACCTTAACTAGCCTAATAAAACCATGACCAATGACAGCTACCAACGACAGCTTGCAAGAAAACAACAGCTAATAGAGAGGGCAGGTTATATGGAATGGTGTAGGTCACTCAGTAGGCTACATCCAAGCAAGCAACATCACTGAAAATGGTCAAAGGGCTAGAAAAGCTGTTCCCAAGCATGGCTTCATCTCAGACTCCTACAAGGCTGACAGCCAGCAGTCACTGACATGGTAGTGAAAAAGAAAACAACTCAAGGCACAAACACAGAAATCTCAGCACCTCTTTGGCATCCTTCCTATGCTGATGGAGGACAAAGCCCAAATCTCTCTTCATCTCTGACAAATTGGAGAGAAGGGGGAAGGAACAAAGCGAAAACCCACAGCTGGCCCCAAGAACTACAGGAACAAAAATGCCACAGCTGAAGAGAGAAAGGTACCTGCCACCCAAGTCACACACATCCTAATCGTAGCAAAAAGCTGTTGGCTCTGGAGGTTGCTGCTGTGGAGATGACTTTGACTGACTGAAATAGTTTATTTGGAGACCTGTCCTAAGAGGAAAAGCTGCTGGAAGGCAACAAGGAAAGACAGATGGGGCAAACAGCCAAGGAATAAATCCCTATTGTCTTAAATATTAGGACCAAAGAACAATAATCAGCAGATTTGCTGCATCTTTTCCTTTTCCAGTATACTCAACTATGGTTATAGGCACGAACATCTCTGCAGCCATTCCTGACCTTCCAGAAGGCCTCATCAACATAAGATGACTCTCTTCAAGAGAAGCCATGGTGTCATGCTCTCAGCTATGCACCTTGTTTTAGGAATAAAGATCAGTATTTAGAATTTATGGAATTTAATACTAATCATCTTGCAATTATTAGGTACATCTGTTATTCTAATTATCACCTTTGTAACCTAGGTGATATGCTTAGTGATACGTGCTTGCTTGAGTCTTTTCAAGCTTCAGATATGGAAATAAAAATGTTTTTGATGTGGTAGCTATCACCTCATGCGACAAAAAATATTTTTGATATAGTAAATGCAGAGAGGACTGTGAGGAAGTTTTCAGGCTAAAGGAGTAAACAGAACAGCTTTAAGTGAAATCAGCTCACTGAGTTTAGAACAAAGTGACCACACAGAAGGCAAACTGCAAGTAATTACCTGAGCTACCTCACAGATTACTTTCCAACTTCACCAGAGAGACATACAGCTACTGGAGTAAAAAAATATTATGCAGGAAAGAAAGAACTTCTGTGGTTCTTAACACAGAAAAGGCTCTTCAAAGGAATGGGTGTTCGCTCAAAGCACAGAAGTGCTCCCAGTCATTGAAAGTCATTGAAGATAGCTGTACCCACAGGAAAAAGATAAAAGCTTGAAAACTTCGTTTCATAGAATCATAGAATGCTTAAGGTTGGAAGGGACCTCTAGAGGTCATCTAGTCCAACTCCCCTGCACACGCAGGGTCACCTAAAGCACGTGGCACAGGACTGCGTCCAAGCGGGTTTGGAAGATCTCCAGAGAAGGAGACTCCACAACCTCTCTGGGCAGCCTGTTCCAGTGCTCTGTCACCCTCACTGTTGAGAAATTGTTCCTTAAGTTCCTGTGGAACTTTTGGTGCTTCAGTTTGTGGCCGTTACCTCTAGTTCTGTCAGTGGCCACCACTGAAAAGAGGCCGGCACCATCCTCCTCACTGCCTCCCTTGAGGTACTTATACACACTGATCAGATCCCTCTCAGCCTTCTCTTCTCCAGCTGAACAGGCCCAGCTCCCTCAGCCTCTCCTCATAGGGCAGATGTTCCAGGCCCCTGATCATCCTTGTAGCCCTGCGCTGGACTCTCTCCAGCAGCTCCACATCCCTCTTGTACTGTGGAGCCCAGAACTGGACACAATACTCCAGATGCGGCCTCACCAGGGCTGAGTAGAGGGGCAGGAGCACCTCCCTCGACCTGCTGGAGATGCTCTTCTTAATGCACCCCAGGATCCCATTGGCCTTCTCGGCCACGAGGGCACACTGCTGCCTCATGGTCAACTTGTCGTCCACCATGACACTATCAGCTACTCCTCCCAGTTTGGTACCATCAGCAAACCTGCTGAGGGAGCACTCTGTGCCTTCATCCAGGTCATTGATGAATAAATTGAACAGGACTGGACCAAGGACTGACCCCTGGGGGACCCCGCTAGCTCCAGGCCTCCAACTAGACTCTGCACCGCTGATCACCACCCTCTGAGCTCTGCCATCCAGCCAGTTCCTAATCCACCTCACTGTGCACTCATCTATCCCACACTTCCGGAGCTTGCCCAGGAGGATGTTGTGAGGGACGGTGTCAAAAGCCTTGGTGAAGTCGAGATAGACGACATCCACTGCTCTCCCCTCATCTATCCAGCTGGTCATTCCATCATAGAAGGCTATCAGGTTAGTCAAGCATGATTTTCCCTTGCTGAATCCATGCTGACCACTCTTGAGCACCTTCTTGTCCTCCACAAAGAGGAGGACATATAGTTTTAGAATATAAAAACAGAGGCAAACACAGGAAGCTGAAACAAGATAAATTTAGCCTAGAAAGATGATACTTAAAAAAAAAAAAGTCAGTGTAACTAACCACAAGAACAACTTATCAGAGCTGTCTCTGCTAAGATTCAACATATTTATTTTTTTTATGATAGGGTAGGTCCCTCCAGCCCTCCCTCCAAAAAATCATATTATTATTTATATTATATTACATTTATAGCACAGCGTGGACCCAAATACCCCAACATTTTCTTACCAGTGAATTAACAGAAGTAAGAACAAGATGTGATGCTTACCTTCCTTTCTGGTTTCTGGATTTCTGGTAAAACCGCACAGAATGGTTTAATAACTTCTAAAAATTTAACTGTTAAAAAAAGAGAACACATTAATAAACTTATACACATTTACACACACTCATGAAATACCTTAAAATTTTACTTAATTTCATAAAAGAAAAAAAATTAAAGTGAATACAAGGAGCTGCTAAATGAATTCTATTTCATTAATACCCAATTCAATACCTGAAAATTGACACCCTCCTTTTAAACCAGGCCAAAACAGACCAAAAATGTTTTTAATGTCATACAGTGATTCGTCCCCCTTTTTCTCCCCCCAAGGCTGGTTTAGCACCATTTCAGACACGGAATAGCACTGCCCGTATCACCAGAAGGGAAATAAATTCTATTCCATCTAAAAATAAGTGACCTAGTATCATTCTGTGCTAGCTAAAAAAGCAAAAAGCTAAAAATGCAAAAGCAAAGCTTGCTCACATCAGAGAGTACCCGCATGGAGACTGACACCTTGCATTTTACCAGAGAAACTAAATCTCTCAGATACAGAAAAAATAGAAATTGCAGCAGAAATCACTGCAGCAATTAGGCTTAGCAGAGCTGGGTGGTATTTTTTCAGCTTCTGATACATCCCTCCCCACAAGCACTCCTTTAGAAGCTCTTATACTAAATAAATAAAGAATTCCCCCAATCTAGCGGTTTTTGGTGGCAGCACTTGCACGTTATACCCGGCACCCACAGAAATCACTGCGTGGTCTCTTAGAAACGCCTTATTTGCTCTGCAAACACATATAACGAAAAATTGTGTGGAAAAGGCCGATTTTACTGTTACCGCCGGTACCCGTCCGGCCGCATTTGCGCTTCATGCACCCGCAAACCCCGCGGAGCACGGGCCGCCTCGGGCCCGCACGGAGAGGTCCGACAGCGACGGGGACCGAGGCCGGGAGGCCGCGACGGGAGGAGCGAGGCGCAGAGCGCCCCCACGGCTCGATACTCACTGCCCATGG